TAACACCCTTAGTTTGATCTCTTCTGACTTCTAAATATTTACTTGTTAAGAATCTCTCAGCTGCTTTTCAGGGGAGGCTTTTACATTCTTGCTCTGTGGCAAAAGACACTGCATGAAAAATGTAAATGAAGTTTATTCAGAAGGGTAAATGTGGTAACTAGTGTCCTTTCAGTGACTTTACAGTGACTCATTCTAGACTTTCAAAAAACACATCACTAACATCACACACCACTATTGATAAGAGTAAAAAAAAGTTTCCTGTAATTTGAAAAGATGGAAACAATTTCTTTACTCAACAGTCAGTACTTGGAAAAGTTATTAAACAGAGGTCATAGAAAGGCTTAATTCTAACGAAGTAGTGCTAAAAGTTTAAACTGTGGGGGAGAGAGAACTAGCACAATCATGGATTTCCTTTACAGTTGTTCTCAAAGCAGCTTTGACATGGTTAGAGATAGGGTAAATGTGACAAAATTCTCGGAATCTGCCAGGAAACACCATCAGGAGGAAGTGATGTTACCCCCTGTCCAGATCAACCTAACAAAGAGAAGAATTAATTCTTATAGATAGTTTTTGCTTTAAGATTACTCAGACCTAAAACCAGTTTTCTATATTGCAAGTGTGCTCTCTACCTCCTCAATCCAAACCAGCCATGGATAATTTTAAAGAGGATGCTACAAGTCACCAGTCTGAACAGAAATGGAGGGAAAGGGATTAACCTGCAGAGCAGAGACTGCAGCTGACCCAGCCCTGCTTCCTCAATCTGTCTACACTTTCACTGGCCTAGCGCTCCTCATCCTAGCCAGGTGATTGACTCTAGCTTGCAACAGATTTAACCTTGCCTGAATTTCTCTAAAGCCTCTTTTCTCCCATTTAGTCTGGCCTTCAACTATTGCAAAGAAAGTTTTGGGGTTTTGTTTTTTGTTGTTGTTGTTTTTTAAAAAAAAAAATACAACCAACAAAAATCTGAAACAACACCAAGGGACCAACAGGACTGGCCACATGTGATCAGAAGGAACACTTGCTATTAGGTCAGAAGTGTAGTGAAGCTTGGTAGACTTTTCTTGGCAGCTTTAGGAAAGCACACACAAGCTAAAAGCAATAGGGTTTTAAAGGCTTATATTAAGAAGTTAAAAGCATTTGCTTGTTGCAGTTTGAAGCTATCAGACCAGTTCAGCTGAAAACAAGAAAGAATAATTCCCTGAGGAAACAAACCTGAGGTTTTGCTGATTGACTACAGACATAAAGGGAGACAATATCCATTCTTCAGTCCTGGGTCTCTATCTCTTACAAAAGGATGGGACAAAAGGGGTCAGTACGTGCATGTAGCTTGGTCAAAACAAGTCATTTAGCTATAGGATGTGAACCTCTAACCTTTGCGAGAAAGTAGAACATACCATATTGAAGAGAACAGCTTGTCCCCAGTGTGGAGGTACAAAAAATAGCAGCCCAGCCACCCAAAATCCATCCTTCATTTGTTAATAATTTGCTCAAGTGTCCTGCCCAAAGCCCAGAAGCCTGCTAAATACTTCCAAGCCGTGTTTGCTTCCCAAGGGTTTTATAAGTTGAACTGGCAAGCAAGAGAAAAAGAAAGAGAAGATAAAGGAGAAAAAGGCTGACAAAAGTAAGCCTTTGTTTATACATGACTTCAGGGTTTTTCTTTGTTGCTTCTGGGGCTTAGATATATGCAACATAAGTTAAAATTCAGTTACACTTCAGTTTTGTGTTATTTTTGCTGAGGAATGACTCATATGTTTCTTTTGTTTAAGAATATCTATCATGTACTGGACTATTCTTTGCACTTCAATATGCTTACACAAAAGTTTAGAAGCTTAGCACCAGGAACTGAATGCCTGACTAAGATGAGATGACATTCGGAATATATAAAAAAATAACTTCCTAACATCATAATAAACTGACATCTTGCTGCAGAATTACATCTACTATTAAATGCTAGAACTACCTCCTTCTCCTCCTCTGTCATTATTACTAACCAAAACTAAAAGTGACCCAGAAACTGTGATTTAAATCTAGCATTTGTGTGTGTAACGTCAGATCAGTTCTTATGTGGGAGTAGCGATACTCTGTGTTACAAATTTAACAACAGTGTCTTGCACCTACACCTACACGAACATTTAAAAGAAAACTGCACAATTTAGGTTAAGCATTGCTATGGACCATGTGGATTCGGCACTCAATCCCTAGAGCTTCTTAGAAAAGCACCATCCCCCTCAAAAAAGGGAAGGTTATGTGGTAACTTAACTTCCTCCCTTCATTTTTATCAGCTTTGAAACAATATGACAAGCAGACCTATTTGTGATGCTCCGTGTTAAAAACACAATTACTTTGAGACTGACACCTACACTCCAAGACTGGATAAATGTATTTATGGTATTAAATATTGCATTTCAAGTCATTAAGGCAAGTCCAGTGCCAAAAGGCACTCTGCTGCCTACATCAGGTCACAGCAATTCCAGTGACAAGCTGAATGGCAGAGAATGGAAGGCAGCTCTTTCTCCAATGAGGCAGAAGTTATCTAATTTTCAATTTCCTTAAAAAGTGGCTTTTGTTTAAGCTCTATTATCAATTGCATGCTTTACAGTTTACAAGCTTGTGAGTTAAGGCTTTCCAACTCCATTACTTTTTTTTGGTGCAGGTGTTTCAGAGGCCTTAGAGCATGAGTACCCAAAAAGGAAGTTTTGATCATAAGTTTCATATTTACTGGCAAAACACACTAGTCAAAAATATCTATTTGCTTACAAAAATCTTTCAAAAAAAAAAATCTGTCACAGGCCAATAAAAGCATTTCAAGTGAGATCTAGAGTGTCAAAAATAAGTAAATTGATATTAGAGGAACTTATTTCTACTAAATCACTTTTGTTTTAAATATCTTTATACAGTTAACACTCAAAACCTGTATTTCATAACTGAAGAAGTTGTATTTCAGGCTAGTATAAGTTTGAGATCAACAGTTCACCAAAAGCCTAACAGGCAAGCTCATTAAATTAGAAATGTGAACCACAGCCACAGAATGACTTCATACTCCAGGCTGTATACAAAGGAAGCACAGCCATTCTCATTTGTGCAGAAAAATCAAGAATCTTACTAAGAGACTACGGATCAAGAAATCATTAACAGGTGATCATCTAAGAACAGCAAAAAGATTGGAACTTGAAATCCAGTTTAGTAGGAAACAAAAAACAAGGCCATGTAGAATATGAGAAAAACAGAAAAACATAACTAAAGATTGCATCATGCAAAGTAGTAATTGTGAAAAGGAAGGAGAGATGATGTGGATAAACAACAGAACATGAGACAGTGCAATATCATGACAAAACAGGGACAGTGTAATTTTTGGTTGTATTAGCCAGAGTCATGAAACAGATTACATTCCTGCACGTAACTTTTTACCCGTCGCATGATGAGATATTATAAAAATCCACATGTAATTCTGGCACCCATAACTTAAGCAGAAATATAGAAAAGGAATAGGAGAGCGCTACAAAATGAATGAACACTGATGATTTAATCAGACAAACCACAGAAAACTAAGTCAGCTGTATTTACATTAAAAAATGAACACAATTCTGATTGAGTGACAGCTATCAGAAAAAACAACTGATCATTATGGGATTCACCATTTCTTCATTTCATAAAAATCAAGACTAGAGTACTTTTTGAGAGACCCATATCAGTTAAACAATGATGGCATTTAAAGTCTGTGCTAAAGTAAAAATAATGCAAAATGAGCATTGGCTCCTAACCTACAAATCACATTGTTTGAAGTAACCTTTAAACTTTTTTTTTTGTAAAATGCTAACACATTAGTAGAAGATTGACCTAAACTCAGCTATTCTGTTGTTATCTTATTAGATAAATGATCCATATGCAATGCTCACTGTACTTATCTAAGTATTTCTAATGTACTGATCACAGTATTATCTAAGCATTATGTGATTAAAAGAAATGATTGTTTTATCTTTTAATAAATTTAGTGCCTGCTGCACTAGAGAGAAAATATTCAAAGTGAAAATTCTTATGCAAGCTCCATTAAATTTATTTGTACATTCCATATATGAAGAGCTGAAAAAAAATATGCAAGTAGTTGAGAAATCATAGGGGAAAAAAAGGTTTTGACACAACACAGTAAAGTCATCACCTTGAAGGAAAGATTTCAGAGGGAAGAAAGATGCTGGCAATAGCAGTTTAAAATGAAAGAAAAAAGGTAAACTAGAGAGTAACTAGCTTGTAATTTAGGAATAATAACCGAGAAAACCTTTGCAGATGGGCATAACAGAATTCAGACAGGATAACAGCATATGAGTATAGGAAGGACAGACTACAGTAAGACATAATGATTTCTCAAAGCCAAGAAAATATAAAGAACAATCATTTATGGTTCTCTTATCAAGGGAGCAGTGAATTCATGGGACAGTGAAAGCTCTAAAAGGAACTGAAAGCATACAGAACAACACAAAGGCCAAAGGATGCATCTTCAGATGCTACAGTGACATGGTAGCAGTAGATAACATTTCTGTTTTTAAGATTTACGTAAAGAGAGTAACAGTTTTACAACAAATCCTCCAATACTGGTAATAGCAAAAGAGTTAAGTACAGAAAAGAATGGTTGCTGGAGTCAAAATGTGTGCTTCCCCCCCCATCCCTGATAAAGGATGTTTTCAATCTCACCTACTAATTGGTAAAAATTACCAATTACAATACAAAAAGCAAATACAGAAGGCGGAGTTTAAAGGAGTGTTGCCTGTAGCATGGTTCTCATACAGAAGCAAATATTTACAGCTCACAAGTATGCCCATAATATAGACTTAAGGCCTTTGCTTATAAAGGAGGCACATTCAGCAACACAGCATTATCTCAGTTTGCAAAGCAGTGCATTGTAGTCATAGTAGGTTAATAAGGAAAAAAAATGGAGGAAGAAAACAACCACTAAGTGCAAAAAGTAAGCAATATCAAGTTACACATTTAATGCCATCACTTATTACCTGGATTTCTAATTCAGCAATATGCTGTTGGAGTTCAGCTACAGCTGCAATGCGGTCTGCTTCACGGAGCCGTACTGCCATCACTTCTTCTTTACTCTGAAAGAAGCGATAGATTGAAGCTAACAAATAGTACATTTCAGTTGATTAAAGACTGTGCACTGATTTTACCAAAAATCATTTTAGTAAAGAAAACTTAATACACTACTGTGTAAAACATCATACCTATTCATAAGGCATATTCTAAAGAACTCAAATACAATTTTAAGCCATAGAATTGTGGAATCATCTAATATCAATTCTAAACTATAATAATCTTAAATAAATCTGTGTAGTTTTGAAAACATGCTGGTATCAATTTCCAGATCCAGAAAACAGCTGCCTTGTGTTCCAGAAATGTTATATTGTAAATTAAGAAAAATTATCAACATAAAAAAAATGCTCATGCTTCAACTTCTGACTTTATATATAAACAGCAAAACTACAGAAGGGTTACTTATTTCATCATTCTCTTTGTCTAAAATATTAAATTAAAAAAAACCCAAACACAAAAGCACAGATACTCTCAACCTTATTTAAGTCTAGCTATCTTAGTCACAGTACACAACAAAGATTTGCAAGAGTTTGGAATAAAATTCTAATGCCTGTAACCTACAATCAGACTCCCAGTGTAAGTTTAATCTGTAAGTTTGCCTATAAATGATAGACAATTTGAGTTTGGACAAAAGAGAAGAAAATTTCCTTATTTCTGTTTCATAAGGCAAGCCCTCAAGACTTCAGAGCACAAAACAATATTATATTGTCAGCAGTTTGGTACAACCACAGAGAGAAAACAGTGATAGATATTGAGAGCAATACTTTCAGCTGGAGTGCAAATAATTCTGGGGAAGAAACAGACTAGGCTCAGGTAGACCTGCTTTTATGGCAGACCGATGTAACTCCACAAACTGTAGTTACTGTAAATCAGTTTCAATATTTCAGTTATTTTGATGTGTGCTTCAGACTGACAGTACTTAACCACCCTTCATTAGACAGTTTGGTTGAGACCGAATTGAACATGCCGAAGCTTATTTGTAGTCGCCACTTGAAAACATGCTGATTGTTTAAAAAAAAAAAATCTGTAATGAAGGTACAGCATCTACAGGATCAAATTCACAGCATCTGTAATCACTGGAGTCCATTTCACAGGAACCCATCATGTCGTAGCCAAAGTTTAGCCATTATTGCTAAATTCTGCTGCACAATTGCTCGAATGAAGCCAAACCCACAAGTCCACAGGATTGCGTGTATTTAACTGAAAACTAAAGGACAGACTGGCTTGATTTGACTTTGGTATCCGAGATGAGTCAATAGTGTTGCTGTAAATGGCACTGATGTTTTATCTCTGAAACAGAGCACGTTCTCAATAATTACCACAAAAGTTGACATGGGAGGAAAGACAAGACCAGCGTCGGCACAAAAATCTATTGTTGTAAATTCTTTAGCAAAACTAATTAGAAAGATCAGTGCTGTGATTCAAGAAACAATTTCAAATTAAGTCTTTGCTGTAGAAGCAGCAGTCAGATAAAAAGGGAAAAGCGTTAACAGTACATACCCGTGACAGGAATGAGTTGCTATACAGGTGGTATGAGATGCAACTTGCTACAGAAATTTTAGTTTATGCTTACGTATTTTAAGCTATCCCTCAAGGAAAAATACAAACTCCAGAAATAATGTACCAGTTCTTTCTGCATAGAAAAAAAAACTGGGGTGTTGAAAATCCAAATGTTTTGGGGTTTTTTATACACCTCTTCAAGTAGAAATATTGCTACCTAGCCAAGATGTAGTGACAGAAATAAAACTGCAGCATGATTTCAGATGACTTGAAACAATAGGAAGAAAAAAAATAAAAATCAAACACCAGTTTCTAATGGAATTGGGAATAACAAACTTGCTAGATTTAAGGAGATGCAAGGTAGAACTTTTAACAATATTAAGTGCTACAAAAACTTAATATTTGTCTGCATTGCTCCATAACATTACCCAAAAGATTACTGAAACACTTTCTTCATCAGCTTTGAATACAAAGTCATTATATCAGTAACATATTAAATAGCTTTATTTCAAGTATTTACATAGCAGTAGTCTTTTCAATTCAACCTACCTGCTACTATCTGTGTTTCAAGCCAAGTCTATGTTGGTAGCAACAATATTTAGTAAAGTTACAGATACTGAACCGACTTCTAGAAGGACTGTAGGTATGACAAGTCTGCTGCTACTGCTGGAGGCTAGCTCTTCGCACTTGTAATATATGCCTTACACAGTAGCCGTAGGACACACTGTTTTTTTGAACAACTAATTAGTATTAAAAAAAAGCCAGTAATGTCACGAGGTTTTGGCTTAACAAGCATAACATTTCTCTTTCTACTTTAAACTTCAGCTTTTTTTTCTTTCAAGTCACTTTAAAATTAAAATTTCATTTTCCTCATACAGTGAAATAACCTTAAACAATCCCAAGCAGGAATTTCCTTCATTTATTGTGGTACAGAGGTGGGGAGACAAGGACCTAAAATAGTCTCTTCTATAACAAGAAAAAGACAATATTCATGCATTTGGCATGAATCTTAGATTAAGCTAAAAATCATGCTTCCAGTAGTTTGAATGTGGAAAGCAAGGGACAAGGAAACAGAACGACAATCCTTACAAATCAACTGTCAAAGGAAAATGGCTTTTTATATCATCTAATTTTTCCACTTAACTGTACATTATCATCCAGTTAGAGTTTGAAATTGAAAAGTTTTTTTTAAGTTTGAAACAGCAATACGAAGCTCAATACCAAGTTATGTCCCATTTAAGGAGTGGGAGAACACTTAAACGTGCGTTTATTGTATACTCTTTGTATAGTCAATACAAAAATTTCAGAGTATTGACTCCACCCTCTGAGTCTCCTAAGGATTAATGAGGACCTTCAGTATCAAAAAACAATCAAACAAAAATGCTATGGGTTATATGAAAAGACATGTCATCAAGGTTGTGAATATTTAAAAAAAAAATATAATCTCAGCATTAAAAAAAATATATCACTTAGGAAACCAGTGATTATAGTAAACAAAAACTAGTCAGTAGAAGCAATTTATTCTAGTTAAGATTCAGTGGCTTGTTTCCTAAAAAATTGTGATGGAATTTGATGAGTCAATAGAAGTTAGGTCTTCACCACACTTTAGATTCAGGTTCCATTGGAAACAAATGGAACTGGCAAGACAGTGAGAAAAATGAAAACCTAAAAAAACCCTGAAATACATGGAGTACGTCTCAGTTATTTACTTATCTTAAATTTCTTTAAAATAGAACTGAATAACAAAAAACCAGTCAGCTTAATTTTGCAGAAAGAACTGTAAGGCAAAACTAGCAAGAAATTGCCAATTACAAATTACACACTATGGCTTTAAGTAATGAACACAAGATCAGATTTTACTACACAACTAAATGACCTAGATTTATGCATTACTTTGGAAAAAGAAATTACAAGAAGAAATTAAAGTCTGTAAAAACTGAGAATTCTGATATTGTAGCAAAACTATGCATATTAATAAGGATGTCATTTAATCTCCAGGCTAAGTGACAATGATAAACCACTCAAACTACACTCGATTCATATTGTCCACAGAAGCCTTTGATGGAATTGCAGCTAATGCAGTCTTTGGGGTACATATGGTGTTATAAGCAAAATCTATGTATATTGGATAAAATTGAAAAAGAAGCACTCAACCAATAACAGCGTTCGAATGAGAATAGGAACAAGTAGTGCACATTAAAAAGGTTCATTTACATTAAAGGCAAAACTAAGATGTGATCATGAACAACAAATAATATCACAGCAACTGCTCTCAAGTTGCCAATTCACAGCCACAGTTTAATAAATAGTATTCTGATTATTTGTCTCATATTACAGTACTATTTTTAACATACTAATAAGAATTCCATTTAGAAGTTACTGACTGTTCAGCACTAGCTGATTTCATAAAAGAATATTCATAGCTCTTTCGGAAATACGATTTAAGTAAAAAGTTGTTTTCATGTCTCTAGCAAGTAATATCTTAACTATAGTGATTTGTCAACCAATACTACCCTTTTGTAGTAAATGTCAGCAGCAACTTCAGGAAAATTTTCATCCGATTTAATAGAAAAAAGCTTGCAAGACTTATCTTTTATTTCTTGTCCATATTATGTATGCACAAGTTAAAGACATAAGTTATTAGTAAAGGTAATGGGTTTAGTTACAAAATTGACTAATTAAATCTGACATTCAAACATCAGATTGGGCTCTCTTTTGTGCATTGAGTAATAAAAACGACTTGCCCAGTGCTTTTGGGCCGTCCCTTTAAAGTCTGGTTACTGTTAGGCAATGACTACTGTAACACTGCCTTCTGTAGACCTCCCCATTCAAATACAACTTTTACTCCCTTTTTTGAATCTAAACTAATTCTGCAGTAATAGTCAGTGTTAAAATAATGAACCTCTTCTGTCACTAAAGACAGTCAGAGTACACACCAATCAGAATCTGTTGTGTAAGAGTGTCTTTTTATATATTATACACAGGCACTTTTCTGCATAGAACCACACTTTAAAAGTTTATCTTTGTGGGACCTCTGTCAAAACCTCAAGTGATTTTTGTGAGACGGTAAATTCAAGATGATATTGTCAAATCAGTAAAAGAAAGTTTTGGTTTTGTGATTTCTGCTTTTCAGTGATGACACAATTCTATCCAACAATAGCAGACAAGACTGAAAAGTATATATATACACACGTTAGTACACAAATTCTATTCACAATGTTGTTTACCTTGCATTCAATCTCTGCTTGTCTACGTTTTGCTTCATTCAACTGAGCAAGAAGTCCTTTGTTCTGTGCAGAAAGATACTGTACCTTCCCCTGTAGGTTGGTAACCTCTTGCTCTGCCCTTCGTAAATGGTTACTATTGATCTGATTCTGAAATTTGTGACCGAAAAAAAAGGGAAGAAAATGGATGTTAATGAAAGATCTTCAATATTAATATAACTCCCCGAAGCCTGACAAGAAAGACTTACAGATCATATACTATAAAGAACTTTTGTTGAAAAAGCATTCAGAATTTTCTAAGTGTAATCAGAAAAGTCTGCATGACATTTGGTTTATGACCAGGATATTCAAACTGTTCTTAAACAATCGATGACTCACTGTAAGAACATTATTGCAAACCTCCTGTACATCTGTTTTTCCCAATCTCTTGCTTAGGTATGGCAAAGATTTTATGAACTTGTATACCAACTACAGCAACAAGCTGATACATCCAAGAAACATCAGGTATGTCAGAAATACTATGTGTACGTTTCTGTCCAGTGAATTCCTGAAAGTAACAAGGCACCTTAATAAAGATCAGTGCATCAGTTCAAGTCACACCATTTTTATATGAAGCTGTGCATAAACCAGTACATAAAACAAGAATCACCGCATTTCTGTCAAATGATAGCTAATAATAAACATACACAAAGATTCGATACATACTGAAGTGAGAAGTACCTAAAGGTCTAGTGATTTTAATATGTGTAATCCAGACAGCAGGATACCTATGCCCCCTGCTGACTAAAATACACAGATGGGGAAAAAGCAACAAAACAAAAGCACATGTTAACTGTAGAGAAACAGTATTAATACTTCAATGATAAGTTTAAAAGTTAAGGTAAGAAGAAATTTTTATTCAGTTGGTATAAAGTGGTGCCTCTGTCAGAAATAAGCCACCATGTGGCTTGCAGTTAGCTCAACTCTCTTCACTAGCACATCCTTATGTACTGTCCTGGTTTCTGGGATTGCTGAAGTTTATCAAGTAAAGTTATTGTTTGTTTAGCCTTTTGGATGCACAGGTCTCCTTCAAGTAACAGTTACATTTAGCAGGTATTTCACGGGAAGATTTCTCAAAAGCCTGTTACAAATCCTTCTCAATCAACAGCACATTGTGCTTATTGATTCAGTCGAGAGTTCACTAATATAATACAAACTCGCCAACTTTAGTGCACTTTCATTTCAGATTTGTTTGCTTAATAACAACTTACTCTCTAGTGATAAAAAAAAAGATCTTGGCAGGCAAGTTATTTTTGTCTTTTCTGCACAAGTCTCAGAAATTGTGAAGAATGGTTTTCTTTTCTGGCACATGAAAGGTGCTAAAAAAACCACCTGACAATATGCCATTGTTTCACTGACAGTCCACAGTTTAGTAACCAGATTAATGACCTCAGCAGATAGTATTTAATCTAGTATAGGCAATTTTACTAGAAGAACTAGAATTATTATCAGAATCATCAATAAGGTCCGTGAAATTTAAAGCACCTTCAGCGAACTTTTGTTGTTACACCAGTTACAGTTTAATGAATTAAGATTCACACACATTCACAGACTCTACCAGCTAGTCCAAATGAGAAATTCAGAAAGCTTAGCCCTGGAAAAGACTGAAGAGGAGACATCAAATTGAGTTGGACTGTATGCACTAGATTCTTCCCTCCTAGTCAATGTATTAAAAAAGTGCATTTTGGAATGCACTTCCTAGTCATGCCTGTAGATGGTAAAGACCACCATTGGATATCTACCATATGACACCAGTTTGTGAACATTCAGCTCAATTCACACATGCTAGTGTTCAATAACATACCTGTGTTTCCATCTCCATCATTCTTTGTTTGGTCTCTTTCAGTTCAGCCTGAGTTTCTGCTTCTCTCAATCGGACTGTCATCAGCTCATCCTGTAGCTCATTCACTGTGTTTTTTCTGGGAGGATCTTTCCATCTTCCACTAGTACGAGCTAGATGACGCTAAAACAATAGCATGCCATTGCTGATAATGCCTGATCTTTCCTGGTGTTCACTTATTTCATGTAAGGTCTCAGAGTTATACAGGGACAAGTTGCTATAGTGCTCCTGTTTGTCCTAAAAACTAGAAATCTATGTAAACTTACTAGTTTTAAGAACAGACAATTAAAAAGCTGAAGACAGTAATTCCCAACTACAGTAAGTCTGTGAATTGCAAGTATATCCTAAGACTTCGGCCTATTTCTAGCCCTTACTAACATTTAGTGAAGTAGGAATACTGATCAGGTACTTCCTTTCTACCAGAATGGTTAGCTGGTAGCACAGGGTGTCTATAATGAGGGACCAATTTCTAACATAATTTTGAAGTCAAGTTTCTTGTGACAGCTGCATTTAAATATTTTTTTCATGTCAGCAGCTTGATCTACCATCACTACTTTTTACTTGATCTCTACATCTCAAGATTTTGTAGCGTCTTGCTCTATCATCATTCATTGAAAATATAAATTGTTAAGAATGTATTGTGACCCATACCTGCCAGTGTTCCTCCAAATCTTTGACTTGCTGCCTTAGTTCTTTAAGGCCCATCAGAGCTTCTGCTTCTCTTAATTTTACTGCAATCAGTTCTTCTTGTAGTCTAGCAACATTTTCTTCATCAGGGAGAGAGCTGTTCCTCTGCAACAAGGACCATAGTCTTAAATATATGTATTTAATAAAATCGTGCTTAGTGAGACCCACTCTAAGAATATAGGCATGAAATGGTAACTCTTCTTACTAACCAAACTTTCGTAGGTACTACATATTCCTTGAAAAATAAAATCCCTCAAAAATTTAAGTTCCTGGATATAGTGAGTGTGAATAAATATCTTCCAACTGCCAACTATAGAAAAAATTGACAAGGTAATTTTAGATATTGACTTTCAGATTTCCCTGGATGGTACCCTTAACAAAGCATTATTTACACTATTTTGCACACATCATCAAAAATACTGAGAGAAATCTGAAAAATTTTGAGCTAGTTGATAAAATTAAAGCAAATGAAGAATTGAAATTACACCTTTACAGTTATAAATTACAGGAAAAATAATAAATGGAAATTTATTTTTTGGGAAGGTGGTCATCTGCCTTTGAAAAAGAGAAAAGATATATTGACAAACGAACCATCCATTAATATTTATAAACAACCACCAGTTAAGGAAAGGTCTTATAGATGAAAGTGCATGAATGTTTACAAAAGACACATGAGGAAGAAGTAGAAAGACTAGAGAAAACTAAACAGAAAACAGGAAAACACATGGCGGAGTGACCTGGGGAAACTAAAACAGTGATGAAAGCATAATAATGGAAGTCAGGGGGAAAAAAAACAGCAGGGGAGAAAAAGAAAGTTGTCTGCCTAACTGCAATATTCCTACATCAAATCATTGGTCATCCAATACTCAAAGTTGAACTGTGCTTTGTACTGTATTTCTCAGTAGTAATTTTCAGCAAAATCGAGTAATTTTGTAGATATGTAATACTGCGACAGTTGCCAGGTTTCTTGAGAGTTGAGATTGAAGTACATTATTAACATTAACAGAACACAGCACAACAGCCATTTATTAGCTCCATGTTTTAAAATCATGGTATCTGAGTATTGGCAAATATAGGGAATAATAGGGTGTGTTTCTGGATGTTTACATCACCGTCAGTATAGCCATGCAAGTCTTGGGTTACTGAGCAGAATTCTCTCAGATTACATGACACATTACTAACAGCAGTAAAGAACTGTATTTGTAGGAATTTGAGGGAGTTAACTTCAGTCACTTTCTCATGTGCCTAAGTTCATTATGACAGGCCGAAATACTACAATACATTTGAGTTGTCTGGTACACTGGAATTTCCTCCACAGCTCCAGCTTTTCTTCACATACAAGTTTTCAGCGTACGCTACCTTCATGTTGATGAAAGTTAAGTAAAGTAGTAGTCTCTTTCTGAACTTTGAAAAATACCCTAGATCTGGAATTCTCGTTGATGTTCAGTACAGTAAAAGCTACCACACTACTAGCCTGTCAAGACTCCAATGAAGCCCCTCAGATAAATAAAAAAATTAAATCTTGACTCTGGTAGGTTAACCCAATTAGCTGGTAAGTTCTGGTGACATTCCTGAGTATACAGCTCTTTAAAATTTCCATGAGGACACAATTCCCAAAGCCAATACAACAGGATCTGAAAAGCATGCTTTACATTAGGTCAATTAATGGTTTTTTTCTTTTTTTTTTTTTTAAATTTTATTTTGCAGTTAAGTTTTTCTTCAAAGAAAGTTAAATGTTTGACAGATGGTTTAAGTAAAGCTCAAACTCTGGCATCAGTAAGTTACACTTTGGGATGGCACCCAAAAAGCAGGAGAGATTTTGATACTAAACAGTGGAAGCATTCTTTCCCTGCCTATAATGGGACGAAGTGGGAGACACTCAAGAACTCAAGACCCGAGAATGCTAATATTGAACTCTTTCCTCCTCCCCTCCCAAACTTCAGTTTCACATCACCTCAATGCTTGCCCTAAGCCTACTGCTTTTGTTGCAGTATATAATTTTGAAACAATTGTTTGTAAACAATTGTTTGTAAACAATTGTTTACAGTAAACTGATGTCTACTGTAAAGACTACCAGAATCCAAGCTTTCCACTGCAGTGAGCTTCAAGAACAGGAGAAAAGTAATCTGTCCTTCACAAACCTTTCCCAGAGCACTCAGATCTTAGGTTTTTTGCTACATTAACTTCAGGTTTGAAAAGCATCTTGCAATCACGAGAACATAAGAGAAGATTCTAGAGCACAGTTATGCAAAGAATTACAGGGACCTGTATTCTGTTTCTAGGGCTATTTTGTACAGACGGTCCTGGTTTGATTTACCTTTTCCATCTCTAGAACTTTATCTTGCATCTCCTTCAGGGCACAATGGGATTCTGCTTCACTCAGTCTGGCTTGGACCAGCTCTTTTTCCAGCTGTAGCACAAAGTCTTCACTGTATCGTGAACTGCATTTATGCTACAAAGTTTGCAGAAATATGTTTAGTACAAAGCACAGATGGTTTTAAAGGGGTTTTATATGCCAGATTTGGAGTGAAAAGTATATTCAAATGCTTAACATTAGGAATACTGACTTAAGATCAACAGAAGTGCTTACCTTATACGTCTACTAACACAACCATCCAGACTGCTAACAATAAGAACCCTAATACTATGCCTCTCAAACAACTGCACCTCCACACAGCCAAACATGTAAGACCAAACAGACCCCTATTAGTACTGAGGAGCAACAACTCACACTCTTCTGTCATTGTTACGCACACTGAAAAATTCTCAAAGGATCTGTGATAATTTTGTGATATGCCAAAAAAGTTGCTTAGGAAAGACTAGCTTATTACAAGGTCAATACAAGTATATCTCTTGATTCCTATTCACTTAAACTCTGATTCAACAGAAGACTTCCATAATCTTGGATTTAAAACAAAGCCATGTATGCTTCAATGCACAACCACTTTGGTTTGCCCCTTTCTTCCACTCCAACCCTTGGTTCTCATTTGCTCACACTATACATATTCCTTCTGAGATTCTCTTCTAGAGAAGCCTTGCGGATTTATGAGAAAAAGCCAGGCACAAGTAGCAGCATAGCCCCTTTAGACAGGCAGCATAGGCCCAAGCTACAAAAAACTTTGGTTCTTTCCACACAAGACTTACTCCAGGACTATCCCCAGCCACTTTTGCACACCCAAACACATTCCCTCAGTAATAAAACAGCAGTTCAGAACTTAAGGTCATCCTTTCCAAACTACAGGGGGAAGGGAAAAAAAACCAAACAGTTCCGCTCAAGTAAGTTAATTCATCATTAACTTATTTCTTGACTGTTGATTAGCCAGAATTAACAGTGAGATCTATCCCTTCAACTTGCTAAAGCTTCATGGAACTGCATCTTTCAACAGATACATCCAACTGAAGTCATACTAAGCCTTTGTATTCAAAAACCCCACTTAACTTTTCCTCCAGTCAATAGATACAAAATACATTTTATTTCTTCCTTGAATTGTTTTAAAATTACTTAAGATTCACCACAGATTGTGAGACTTGCTTGACAGGCCATGCCATCCTAAATCAGCATTTAAATTTGGGGCGGGGGGGGAAGAGTGTTGAAACCCCCAAAGTGTAGTTCCCTAGTTACTGTGTATGCATAGCTACACTGAAAATTAAGTTTGAATGGAAGTCATTTAATACATCTTCAGTGCCATTAACTACATTGTGAAGAATAGATACTATACCTGGATTCATAGATGAAGTTTATTCCATTAACAATGCAACTTTAAAATCCATAGTGTTCATTATACTAAAGATACAACTATTTCTTAATTTTATGTTTGCATCAAACAATTTCATTTTCTGCATCTAAATACAGCTGTCAAAATTCAGTTCCATAAGCTTCTGTTAGGGTATGATATTCCCTGACCTTTAACACACAGACCAAAGGCAAACAAGACAAAACAATTTTCAACATGTAACTACATGGTCAAGGAAATAGTTTTTAATTTATTTTTATACTTCTGCATCCCAACTAAGCCTTTCATCATGACTTACAGTACGATCCAAATTCAAAGTCTACACTAACTCATCTTAGTGTTAGAATTTATTGTATTTCTTATAAATATATGTCTACAGGGAGCTATAATAGAGGGGATACGTACAGAGCATTAAAAGGCAAAAATAGCTCATGCAAGCAGTCTTCAGTGTCACTGAGAGTATCCATTTAAGTGCTCGTCCTCCTTAACTGTGCAGTTGAACACACATGGAACGCTTAATGTACAAAGATCATAATATAATTAATATTAACTTTCACTTATACAATATTAACTTAATTCATATTCTTTTCAACCCACATAGTGTCTTTGCCTCAGCAAGCAGTGGAGGTAGCCCTGATCTGAGTGTGAGGAGAGGGTGGGTGGACAATGCTGATGTGTTTCTACAATTGCTTCACGTGATACGGGAGCATGAGTAGCATACGTATGTAACAACATGCAGAGAATAAGCAACAGCTCTTTCTTATTCCCTGGCTGTTTGTACAAGTTCATCAGATGATACACACAGCAAATTAAATGGACTCTAAGTTTCTTGTTCCAGATTTGGCTTGTGATACATATGGAACAAGAACGAACTCAGTGTGCTTTCCTCAGGTAAGAAGTCCTCTTATACTTTCCAGGAAATTGAGAGAAAACAGCAGATTTGAAGAGCTGAATACATCCTGATTTTGCAACAATATGTAAGTGTACTCCAAAAAGTTTTCGACTACAAAAATCTAACTGATGTTTGTCAAATAATAAGTAACGGAAAGTGTAAGAAAAGTTACTTATCCAGTTTCAGGCACAAGTCATGCCTTCTTTAAATCTGTCTTTAGATTTCATCTGCCTAAGAAATGTGCTAGGAGTACTTATCTATTTACCCACAACAAACATTAAATCAAGTCTTGATAGACTGGCAAAAAAAAAAAAATACAGGCAAGCTCAAAACAGATTTAAAAAAACAATATTCACAAGGTCAAAGTTGTCAGTTTTGCTCCTTAAAAAACAACATACAATGTTAATATTTAGTATATAAAGTTAACACAAGTTTATAGTCAAAACAATGTTTGAAAACTACTTTAAAACTGCCTTCTTTAGCAAAAAAATGCTTTTATGTATTTGTCTTAAGCCCTACAATTTGTGACAAAAACCACAATGTGAATCCAGATTTCCAGGCACCAGCCAAACGTTTTAACCACGGTAACACTATTTTTCTTGCCTGTGTTGAAAATATGTTTGTAATATAAAGCACTAAAAATGTAGCTCTATAGCCATTTACTTCTGAAAGAAACAAGTCCTTGCTCGGCTTCACAAAACTGGATTTATTTGCCCATAACTTTTCTTAAAATCTCAGAAATAGTAAGATCTCGGAGACTGACACAACCTTTCCTAACATTATTTTGGCCGATGACAGATTATTACATGTAATTACAGAATGCTTTTCCAGTACTCTATACTGAAGGGCAACTAACAGATAGTCCAGCAGTTGCCCAGCTAACTTTCGTTCCACATTTAGGCACTAACTGTAGTACTTTACTCAATACAGTATTTTTATTTTCTGCTTTTTGCTTGCAAATCAGAACGTCATATAAAAAATTATATTGTAAAATAAAGTTCCATAAGGTTGCAACACTCATTTACACGCATATATTCCCTATACCAGTTATTATGCTCTTAATTATTATCAATCATTTTAACATGAGTTCCTGAAAAAAAAACCAAACAAGTATGCATTATGGAGTTGCTGTAACAATAACCAAATACATGGCTATAGATTACCTTGCAAAATGCATATGCTTCCATCTGAATGTTTAGTCAGTTAAAATTCTATCTTCATGTAATACACTTGAAGAGCCTTCTTAAAAATAAGGTGTGAACCAATTTTAGCTTGAACTGCCTGTCATTTCTCAGATTCAATTTTCAGGCATTCAGATGTAACCATTGAAAATCAGAGTATCCCTGGAAAGACTGAGATTTGTGTTCTGGAGGTGTATAACTAGCACAGAACGTTCGATTATTCATTTTTCTACATCCTGCAGAAGCTACCTTTTTCATTTAGAAACAATAGGAGAAAAAGGACAGAGAAAAAACCTTCAGCTCATAATTATCAGGAGTAGGTTAGAATAGGCTGATTACCCTCACCCCAACTCCTCAAATACCATCGCTCTTAGTATGCCTCAAAAGAAAATTTTCTGTATTCTGTTGAACTCAGGCACAACTTCCTCTATGCAGTTATGATTTACTAGCAGCATGAGGAAGAAACTACCTTCCCCTTAATCTTTTGGTTACCCACCACATCTAGAAGTCTTTGGCAAGTTTCTATATTTAAAGATTAGACATGCCAAAGACAGATCGGTACCGTTCTCTTCAAAACCCTCCAGGCAAACATTTTGGTAGCTAAAGCACTGAACTCCAAGAGCACTTCAGAATATTAATAGCTTTATAATTATTTTTTCCTAGTTATCAATATAAAAAACTGTACAGGTCATACACTGTTTTTAAAGACCTTACGCTGCCAGACTTGCTCTCTACTAAGATGTAAAAGTTCACATCCAAAGTAAAATTAAGTATGAAATCTCCATCTCAAACCTTACTATTTTCCACTTCTTTTTCCTCTTCCAAATGACATTAAATATATTCAGAAATATGCAGAATACATTTGATGACACTTAATATGTGATTTATTATATGATCATTAGTACTATTTTCAGGTTGTCTCAGAGAAGTATTATAGCAGGACTTCCCTTCCTTTCACTAAGAAACAATGGTAAGAACCTCTCTAAGTAAACCTTGATCTTTAAGGTCCCTTCCAACCTAAACCATTCTATGATTCTAAGTAGACACTTAGACAACTAAGACTAAGACAACACTTTATTACAAAGTCATTCTGGTTCAGTCAAAAACTCCCTATAAATACTTCAGTACAGGAAAAATTAAAGTTGCATGTAATTTGGGCTTCTAGTCTTGGACTTCAGACAAAAGAATACTCCTCTACCCATCTCTGTATTCAGCCTTACAAAGAAGTGCTGCAATGGAAAATTTCTTCATACATACATGCATCCTGGAGACACCTTTAATACTTACCTTTAAGCCACCCAACTTGTGCTATTAAATCTCACAGAACAAACCTTAGGTTATATTTAAATACAAATGCATAACCTTTTAACAAAGAAAATATTAGCCTTCCTAGAAATACTATGGTTTATATAGTATTTTTGCTACCAACAAAACAAAAAACACGACTCCTGCCTCATGATTCACAAGCAAACCGGGTTGTGTTTTGTTTCTTTTTTTTTTTTTTATATCCCATAGTGTTGTTCAGAAGAGGCAGCTGCAAATATCTGTAGTCAGTGCTTTTCATACATTCCTATTCAGAAATTCATACCTGAACTGTACAGTTTCTATCATGTGGAAACAGACAACTCAACTTTGGAAAAGATGTAGATTATAAAATACGTAGGATAGATGCTGTACATTTAAATAAGTACAGATAAACTATGTAGCCATTTATAAGTTTACTATGCAATCCTTTTTGCTAATCATAAGCAAAACAAATAATTGGAAGGAAAAAAGCATTAAAGCAGATACTTGTAAGACAATATTAGAGAGGAGCACTGCTAAGAGCAAAGCTACTGGCACTTGGAAGTGGCAAAAAGACTTACCGGTGTACTCTACTTGAAGTGAAATACCAAAATTCAAAAGAAATTGATGGATTTCCACTAGGTGGTGCCCTAAGTGCATGCAACTGTTTACATTTGTTGCTCCTATATCCATGCTTGCAAACAAAGTAAAAAAGCCTGATCAATTACAAATCCCACTGAAGCTGCAGAATCTAGGGAACTACTAATTGAAACCATCTTAACACTTTCACCACGTTGTCTAAGTTAATTCAGACAGTCCTCAAAACCACAGTGGTATTCCTTGCACTTCAGAGTTAGCCAGCTACTAGGCACAAATCCCTCTATAAGTACATGGATTCAGAACCTCAGTTCTAAGCATAGTCAGACTATTTCCTATTGTCATGCTCACACTTGAGCGGAGGAAAACAAGGCTGCAAGCATGCAGGACAGGAAGTGTGGCTCTTAAATTAACTGCCCATTCTTGCATTTTACTTGCTTTCCACTCCTGCAGTACCTGTCCAATCTTTTGTCCCCACAGCTCCAATCCAACCAATTTTGCAATCCAGTTATCTGTAGTTTTGCTCAGGACCATTTCTCATGCCTTGCCAACCTGCCAGGCTTCCCTATCATTGCTACTTAATGAGGTCCCCAGCATAATTAAAAGCATTGGTTTTAAAATTTGTATTACTCATCAACTAATAGATAAACATAGCATTTTAGTCTCTTTTAATAACTTTTAATTGAATACAGGTAAGTAACATAGATGCCTCCAAAAACACATTCTAAAAGCATGTGTACTATTGTAATCAGACAGTAAACAGCTGGCTACTCAAGCCAGTACTATACGCATTTCTCATTTTATTTCACTTGAAAGATTACAACATATCTAAAATTTTGAAAAGCATTGTTAGAACATCCCCATCTTCCTAATCATTTCTTCATTTTTTTCCCCAAAGAAATTGCTAAAGTTAAATAAAAAACAGCATTAGACATTACTTCTCAACAGCTCATTAATAACTCCTTGCAACTATTTAAAATATGTACCTTTTTTAAACTGAAATGCATTAAACAGATAAAATAAACTATTTCTATAATGTTGCATTTAATTTATGATTTCTTTTCAGTCTAACAGTAAATCTCATCTCCACCTTCCAAGATGAGTTACAAGTACTTCCAGAGCTTTGGTGAAGGATAGGTAAAAGAAACTGCTGGTAAGCAGCTGCAGTATGCTGTAGTTCTAAAAAAAGTAGTATTTCATATACCTGAAATACCCAGGGCTTCAGACAAGTACTTAGATATCACTTACTTAAAACAATATGAGCATATTCACATCAATATTGCTAGCACATAATTTATTCAGCATGTGAAGACTGCTGAAACTGCTTCCCTCCCTCACTCAAGAGAAGATTTGAGCACTTTAAGTGGCTTAGAGAAAGTAACTTCAGTCTCACCGTAAGTCTGAAGTCTTGCACATAATGCCACCTAACACACATAGTACATACAAACACAGTACTACATACAGCTGCTAAAAGTTATGTTCCTGCTATATCTGCACGTAAACCCACACCTTTTAATGAAGTCTTGTCATTCTAAACTCAGGGACAATACCCTTGCAAGCAGCAAATTTAAGCATGCTAGGAAAAAAAAAACCACCAAAACAGTCGGTATGCAGAAGAAACGTTAACATGGAGACACTGACTTAAATGAGAAGCTAGGTAAAGGCATTATGAATCAACTCTCAAATTTGAGTATTCAGAGTGACGCGATTTGCAATGGCTAGATTCTTATCATTAGGAACTACCAAAGGTTTTGTGGGTGGTTTTTTGTTAGTATTTCTTTGGTGGTGGTGGGGTTTTGGGTTGGTTTATGTGTTGTTGGATTTTTGGCTTGGTGTGTTTTGTCAGGGGTTTTTTTTTTGGCAGTGGGTTTTTTGTTTGTGTTTTATTTTGTTTTTAAACTAAGAACTTACATCTGTCCAGGGTTATGAATCTTATATATCAGTAAAACCAGACCAAAATATCATTTAGTCCAATTTGCTAATTTTAAGAATGCAAAATCACAATGAACAAGCATTTACAAGGACAGCACAGAGACCATGTCATGATGGAGGAAAAATAAACACAAGTGAGTGAAAAAGATGAGATGATGTGCTGCCACGCTCCTTACCCATTGCTGCTGCTGTTGGAGCTCCCTGATGGTATTCTCAGCTTGCTCCAGTTTAGTAATGGCCTCATCACTCTGCTGTTTGATGGTGGCCAGCTCCCGTTTTATGAGGTAGTTTTCCTCAGCCTCCTGAGCCCTTGTCACTTGTCCCTTAGGACATAATTTAGTTTTTTAAGCAATTGAGGACAAATCCAAGAAAGATTGTCTTTGTGATGCTTAGCCGCTTATTTCATCAGATTGGTTTTGCAAACAGCACAAAACACAATTGGCAGAAATTTTAGGACAAGGTAGTACTAAACAGCTGCTTTAGTACTTTATTATGAAGTTCAGCATCCATTTAGCAAGCACAATTGCGTACTTGCATTCAATAAAATTCCTTTCATGCAATATTACTCATTTGTACATGCACAGATTTAAGTTTGCATTATTCAGTTTCAGTGTTAATACAGTGTCATAGAATCCATTTGTCATAGGAATTTGTACCAAAAATTACATTAGGTTAGGAAAAAAATAGCGTGCAGGTATTGGGTTCATATATTTTTAGTAAACAAAATTAAACAAGCATCTAGCAAGAGATTAGCTCTATATTTACTCAAAATCAGCAAGGCAGGGATAGAGTACAGCATGCAAATATGCATGCATTAAAGCAGTTTGGGGTTTTTTGAGAATAGGAAGAGAGTCATAGAGAAAAAGACTAAAAGACTATACCTGTATCAATCTATCTGCCAAGGAAGCACTTTCCTACAAAGGAAAAATTCAGATAGGAATAAGGAAAAGAAAAACCAAAAAACAAAGGGGTGATAATAGTGACAAAAAAAGACAAGAGCTGAGAGAAAGAAAATGCCCAAATTCTACCCATATTCTGTACAAACTCTTTTTGCAAAATTAACAACTCTTCATATAAATTAAGGCAACTCAGCTTGCAAGTCCCAGGAAGCAGCCTTTTCTGCAATAGATTTAACACAGTCTTTCTGCGTTACAAGGTCTCAAAGCCAGAATTCCGTAACACTAAAAATTCACCTAGAGGAGACTGGGTATTTTTATCAGAATGGCTCGCTTCCTTAATTAACAAAAGTTACTGATACATTATCTGATATGATATAGCAAATAGATGCAAGATGTTATTTATGGTCTGTCCATAACGTGAAAGGCAGGCATAATTTGAGCACTCCACTAAGCACCAAGGCATTCATGCAGAACTAAAGCTTCCAAAAAGATGAAGCAGAAAAGTTAAATGGTGCAAACTGACAGAGACAAGTAGAAAATTTCAGCTATGACACGAAATATTTTATTTTACTGAACTCATTAACTGCTCAACTGAGTTACTGCAAAACTTCTCTTTCCTTGCCAAAGTTTTGCAAGAAAGAAATTTTCACTTATGCACACCGACAAGCACTATGTTTCCCCCCGACCCAAGTTGCACATTTAATTAATATCTACTCTATCATGCTTGAAAGCGCTCAATTTTTGCAGATTCTACAACAGAGAACACATCTATTCACAGACCATCTTTGTCCTTGGAACTTTTATTAAAATTAAAGTTCAAACTAGTTGATAAGAGCTATGACTTAGAAGTTAAGGTAAGCAGTTTGTCATTAAGGTACACTAAAGAAATCACAACTAGATCATACAGGTTAGGATGAGGAAAAACTACTTTAAAATAAAACTAAGTTTCAAAAAAAATGTGTTTGTTCACACTTTATGATCAGTTTTCAGATGCTGTGATGATAATGATCTTCAGAAATTCTTATTAATAGATAATATTGTCCGTTTTGAAATGTTCTAATTCCAGTCAGAATAGGATACTAAAGTGAATTCTGAAATTTTAAGTACAGAATTTGCAAAAGCACTAAATCCAATTTCAAATCTCTGCAATTTAAGTATAAAACAGGAATAACTACTATTAGAAATTTGCCAACAGCATTGAAGTGATTGACTACAGCTTCACACTTCTTTGAAAGTCTGCTCTTTTCAGTTAATTTTATCAGCACTTCAATATTAGACACAAAGATGTTTATAAAATTGTATTTTTGGTAACAACTTTCACAGCATGTCTTTATTATGTACTTTTTTTCCAAACTAAATTCAGAAATCAATTAATTCCAATTTGACATAGATTGACCATTTTTCCAAGAAACTATAATGGATTTAACATCTGAAGTGCGAAAGCTTTCAATTATGTCACTCTAAATCGAGTCTTTACCATTTTCTTCCCTGTGAAACATGAACCACTGTTTGCAACGCACAAGAGCATTCGATTTCATTTGTTGAAAGATAGTTGCTATTCGTGGTTAAGATGGACAAGAATGTTCTCATTCTAGAGCAGACCAGCTCAGATGCAATCTGTCACAGGAAGCATGACACCAGATACAGAAGAGACCGTCAGAGAACAACGCCTGCATGTTGGCAATGTATTGACAACGGTTATCACGCACTTTTAAAGTTATATCCAGTTACAAAGAAGCCTAACAAAACTCTATTCCAGACTAACTCTGTGAAAAATACGTCTTAAAAGATATTCTCCCCCCCATGTACCCATAATTGCTACAAAAATTCAAAATTACGTAACATAAATTAATGTCAGCAGACTTCCTGTACTGAATATGAATACTGCAACAACACCCCTCTACTGCTGTATTCACTAGCGATGAAATAATCTGCCTTCATCTCCATCTCTCTCTGGTCATTGGTAGGTCTGTCATTGTGATCCTACATAAAAACACTCAGCAACTTCAGATTTTCAAAATTGAGGATTCTCTCACAATAACCTCTTTTCCACCCAAGCAGTCCACTATTTCATGTAGTCTTCTGGACTTTGAACAGATGCTTCTAATTCAGAAAGAAAACAGTACAACAAAAGTTGGGTATGTCAAAATGTTTGATTTCATATTCACCAAGAGCCAGACATAACAAACCTTAAACATTTACAAGCACTGACCCTAATTGCTTTGTTACTGGCATGCTATTGGGCTAAGCACTGTTAGTAAACACCACAGATTAGCAGGAAAAACAGTAAGCTACAATTCTGATATTCCCATTTCATATAATAAAATTGCCATCAATTTAAGTATAAATTAACACAGATTAAGTCTAATCACCAGCATACTTACTTTTTCTAGTGTTTCGATGCGCTGTTTTAGGAGTCTGTTTTCAGTTCGTAACCTCTGGAAGGTAAACAGTTCAGAATTGTATTTCTCGAGTTATGAATTGGAAGTCAGATAAAAGCCAAGCAAGCTAACAATGTTTTTATCTCATCATATCTATGAAAATCAATATAAATACAAAAATAATTAGTGACCTTTTTAACATCCTTTTGTATTATGTACTAACTCAAAAGATGAGTTTAAACAGCTTGATACGGCAAAGATGAGATGAAGTCTCGTGTTATACAAAAGCATCTGTGTTGCATTAGATGAAAGCAGTATGTCTGCAGGTCAACCACAGGGCTTATTTACACATTAGACTTGATAGCCACCTCCTCCTTATAAACAGAGACAGGCACAGTCTTCATGGTTAGGGATCATGACATTAACCTGTCCTAGGTGCAGGGAGGGGACTGAGATAGCTACAAGTTTTCCTTCCTTTACCCCCCAATAATTTACATTAAATTATATAATAATATTTATTTAATCTGTAAGGTTATACTGAGAATTATTTACCTCAGATGCCCCAGAAGGGAGAAAGAATTGTACTGAATTGTGTATTTTACCTGCATTTCCTGTAAATTTTAGCTGTCAGCATTCAGATAGAAGCTATCTGTATCCCTAAGAATAGAGCCATGGATATCAATTCAGTAATGCTTTATTCTGCCAGGCTAAGAGGCAGGCTCAACATGCTTGCTTCCCATCTCCCTGAAACGGCAGAGCTTCTTAGCAGACTAGAGTAAGCCAGAAACGGTTTATATAAGGTCCCAAAGCAGGGCTTAGAAACAGACAGTTTTGGGTTATTGGGTTTGGTTAGCTGGGTTGGGGGGTTTTTGTTGGTTTGTTTGTTTCATTGATTTGGTTGGGGTGTTGGTTTTTTTGGGGGGCAGGATTTGAAGTAAGTTAAAATACTCAAATCTAAAGTTCATTGTCTTTCAAATTATTTTATTCTGTCCTATTCCGCAGAGAGCTGTCATTTGAGCCCTGCAAATCTTCTGATTTGAGATGCCATTACAGCAGGTCATAATGCTGCCGTCTCACTGCCTGTTACAACAATAACAAACTGTCTGAAAAAGCTCAAAACACCTTTGTGCTCCCAGAATTTTTCTGAAGAAGCAATGCCTTAGAAACTGATATTGAGAGGCAAAATGACTGGCAGTGAATAGGAAGAAGGCAGGCTGTACCTCGCTCCCTCTACTAAGCTTTATATACTACACTTGCCCATCATTTCTCCCACTGCCTAAAAACAAGGAGGCAAATCCAGATCAAACACCATGCTGTGAAAAACATGTGAAAAGGGGAAAAAAAAAGAGCAGCAAAAGCCTATTTATGTCACAAAAGCAAAAAGATGCATTGATTAAGTACATACAGGAAGTAGGTCACAGTAAAAGGGAAACAGAGACTGCACTCGCAGGGTGGTTTTTTCCTCATTATGTATCAATTGCAGAAGCTCCGAAAGAAAAAGTGACTGCAGACAGAAGACACTCAATCTTGGGTCCAATGCATAAGAAAAATCAAGATCTCAAAATCAATGATAAACCACTCAAGTGCATTCTGATAAACTCTATCTTAACTTGTGTCTTACAAGCCTCCTGTGTGGGACACCTACATCTAAACCAGCATACCCGGAACTTCTGATAAGCGAGGCCATCTGTAATCAAGCTTTAGTCAGCAGAAAATAATGAAAATTAAGTACAGCGGGTCTCCATCAAAGATTTTTCTTTAGATGTCCACCAGAAGTCTCAATAATTTCACTATGAGTGTCCTTTATGAACAGAGATCCCAAATACAAATGCTGAAAGAAAAGAATTTGGGGACCTCCATTATATGTCCTGCTACATATACAGATCAAGTATGTAACCCCACATCTAGGAATTAAACTGATCCATAAATAAATCTGTTGAGGCTCTCTTACTTTAATTTCAACTTGTTCTTCCATTTCTTTTGTCTTTATTGTAGTGTATTCCTTTTCTAACCTAAAAATTAGAAATAGTAAGTTATGATTAGCAAAATTGCGGGTAACTTCTTTGTGTAATACCTAATAAACAACAGTAGAACAGAGATACAGATTATTGATATTTCCTCTGTTTAAGTGGCCGCTTGCAATGCACTCCTGTAAATATTTAGACTGGACATTAAATTTAAACACAGACTTGTGTAGATACAGACTCTGAACCGGCACTCTGAAGTGCAGGTGCTTGCTTGTATACATTTGCAGTGGCAATGAGTTGGAGCTACTCTGTAATAACCACTCAATGTAATTATACAATAATCAATTCAATAGATTCAATCAAAAGAAAACACAGCTTGGGAAGTCTGGAAGACAAAAAGAAGCAAAGAGATTTGAGACAAAGATCTTAAACATATAAAATAATTTTGGCACCTCTCCAGCAAACCACAGAATTGTCCCAATTGAAAAAGGTGTCAACAAGAAAAAACAAGCTGGGATAAACAATGCCTCTACAGAACACAACCAAGGAAGTTTAGACTTGGAATGGCAGGATTTTTAAACTACATACACTTATATTGGCTTTCAGAGAAAAATGTTTTCCCTGAAAGCTTTATTACCATTTCTGGTTTAGAGAAGACTGCGCACTCTACAGCACTGATCACAGGCCGCTGACAGAAGGATCGGCAAACTCAAATTGAAAGACCCTAGCACAATCTGCAGTGCAGGAACACTGAATGTTCAACACGCTACAACCAACTGGAGAATCGCCAAACTTAATCCTGGAAAAGCACAATGTGTGCAGCTTGGCTTATCAAAACAGAATTTACGAAATGCAGAAAAGAGAAGACATGCAACTAACCTCAAAATAAAGTAGTATTATGCTCAGAACTTCAAAGCCCAAATGAAAGTTATTTTACAATTACCAATGTTATTACAAAGTTTCATCAATTTATATTTTGAACAGCGCTTATCTTGACCATACGTGCACTCTTTAGCACTGTGAATACTTTTCCAGTTCCTGAGAACTAAAGTCTTAAGAATTTAGGACAGATCATAAAGTTGAACCTCCTTTCCCTGCTTCAGCCTCAAAAAAACTAAACAATCCCTCCCCCACAAAAAAAAACCCCACACATACATCCCCCACACACTGCTTTTTCTATTCAGATCCCGTTTACAGAAGTACTGTAATTCCTCATAACTTGCAGCTTTCTTCAAAAGCTTTTTTTTTTTTAAATGACATATAGCTTTATTGTATTTAAGAAAAACAGCAAATACTGCTTCAGAAGAATTTTCTTGCAGATAAAGCTTCAGTTTTAACTGTTTATAGTATAAAACACCAAAAAAATTAAAGACTGAAAAATCAACATGAAATACTGAATAACTAGTTGTAAAATTAAACAAACAGTAGCTCTCAGCAACAGTATAATCTATTTTTCTCAAAATGTTATACCTACTTTTTCATCTTTTTTGCATTGTATTTGACTTGGTAAGATGCTTGGATTAATTTGTCTGGACCACTGTCAAACTGATGTGGAATGACCTTTTGAAAGTGCTAAAAGCAATCAGAGCACAAGATTACATATAATTAATAGCTGCAAGGAAATACACACACACTACACATTTCAGACAACTCTTTACAATTATTATAACCTTAATTTACCTGTAACATTCCTTCCATGTCAAGTTGCAGTAATTCTGCTTGGTTCATCTGAAGTACTGCTAAACCTACTCGAAATACTATTTCTAAACCCTGAAAACAGAAGTTAAGAAATACCCAACAATTATTCATGGCATCGTCAACAGTACAGAGCGATTCTACTATTTACTAACGTTGGAAATCTCACCCAGTTTCTCAAAGAGGCAAAAGGGCTACTGAAAAATGTCTCAATAAACTGGTTCCTGATTTCTTATTCTGTCCCAAGGACGTGAAGTCTGGATATCTGTCCTGATGCCAGACCCCTCCTCAGAGAGCCTAGTGCTGAGGTAAAAACTCGAGTGACAGGTGTTCTCTATGTGAGCTTTATCAAACATTTTAAATACATCTAGTACAAAACCCCCCAGGCATTTCTCAAAAAAGCCATTTTAATTTCAGACATGGTACAACGCAGTTAAACAGATAAAAAGGAATGTTACACTCATATATACTATCTTGGACATTCTTGAGTGTAAGCTGAAAGGATCCACCTTTGACTTACTATTTTCCAAAAGATGATTGCAGAGAACAAGCATAAATGGACCAAAAGCTTTGGTTTGTTACCAGTTACAATCACACCAAGTTCCAATCCTAAACATGACTTAGGTGTCTTCATGATAGTGACACTGAACAATTCCATAAGTTTATTTGGCTATTGTTCATCATCTGGACAATAAAAGATGCCAACACTCTCTCTTCTTGGTCTCCATATCCCCATGGAGCTTTAGCTTTGCTCTGAAAGCAGCATTACTTTCCACCCCAAACTTACTATCATACTGAGAAACTGATGTCCCTGTTGTATGCAATGCTATTGCACTGCACCCAGAACTGATAGATTTGGTGACTCTTCAATAGGCTTAGAGTAGAAAGTTTCATACAGTTACCTACATTCAAAGATTTAGTTGCTCTTCCTTGACAAACTACATACACCTTCCCCTACAAAATAATCTGATAAGCATAAGGACTAAAAAGCAAGACTATTTGAGATTTGCCTGTCATAATGGGATTTATACCACTACCTAAATAACTGCTTTTAACAGCTACTCTTTAAATGGATCATACAAGTATTAACTAGTTACCTCAGACATAAAAATATCAAATATTCTTGTTGCAATTGGTAGTGGAAAAGTTGTAAGGAATATAGTTAAAAACCATGACGACGCATACATAGAAGTGTGGAAACTCTGAGACTGAAAGTGCACATAAAGCTCTGGAAGATGCTCCTGGAAAAAAAAGAGGAAGAAAAAAAATATACATTAAGCTTCTGCTAGGAGTTTTAGCATGTCCATGTTTTGGACAAATTTTGAATAAAAGAAAATAATTGGTATTTAGTACAGACAGCAGCTTCATAACACAGGACTTGGAAAGATGTTACTCATCATCATCAAGAACCATGCAACACAAGTCTCAGTACAGAATGCCCTACAACACTTCTACCCTGCAAAGCAAAGATTACAAAACCACTTCCTGATCCCAATAAGAAGTTGAAACTCGTAAATCTCTAAGTCACATCTAGAGTGGGCTACAAAAAAAAAGCTGGAAAAGTCTAGGGTATGGCCAGAGACCTACATCTTATTTGCTGTGTAACATTCCACCCCTGAGCATCATCATGTTAGCAACTGCATCACAAAACACAAACCTATTTGTCTCTGTCAGCCTGACCACGAAGAAAAAAAGTGTTGTGTCCCAAATCTGAACACAATTTTAATTCTACATCTGAGGGTATCTCCCAGGTTTCCATTTTTTAAAATAGCTATGAATTGACTACGAAGACGTTGACTTTCAGAATCTTCAATACAAACAGAATTAGACATGCATATACTTAAACTGTAGCAATACAAATCACCGTGCTTCTGTGTCTAAAGCCAGTCACTGTCTGCCAAAGGTTAAAAAAGTAGACCCCACAGCCACATGCATTTACTTCTGAAGTTCTGAAACTAGCTACTGTCACGAGAACAGCCTATGAGCCAACAGACATGCCTGCTCTTGAACTGAAATTCCCACATTTCTTATTAATAGTTACTGAAGAGAAAGTTTGATAGATGCTGTATGTACCTGTATCATGCATTCAAACTGGTACATACAAAGACCCAGTTCAGCCATGCTTGGTTTAAAGAGTTCTCGTAGTCTGTAATCTTGCATTAGCTTAACAAACACACAGAATGCCTCTTCTTCTGGCATCTATATTAAAAATAAAAAAGCATAGTAAAAACTCTGGACAAATGTAAGGATCTATCAGAGTAAGGGCCTGGGAGGGTTTAAGGTGTTTTTGTGTGTGCGGGCACACAGTTAGGTTTTTGGTTGTTAATTTGTTGGGGGTTTTCCTGGTTTTTGGGGTTTTCTTAAGGGATTTATAACCAATTACTGCAACGAACTTTTCTATATAGTGAATTCTATCAAGTGATTTCTGAACTGAAATGGAGGTCTGCAAGTTTCCTACAGTGTACCCTACTTTGTCATAAAACAAAAGGCAGTAATACAAAGGCAGCTGTAAGATTATCAAATCAACTGTGAAGTTCCATTTGAGGTGATTCAGTGTAATAGAATTGAAATGAGAAGTTTGTTAACAGTTGAAACAACACTCAGCAAAATAGCTTGCAAGGCTGCAATCCTACCTTAAATGTATTCTCCCACTCAAAGACAGTACCTTCGTGGCAAATGGAACCACAGAGAATAAGTCTCATTTGATTTGCAGAGTAAACAGCTGCCCTTGACAATTCCATTGTAATAAAATGACGAAGGAAAACCATTATAAGAATTCCCAATAAACCACCATGATATATTATGCATTCCAGCAGGGATTTTAAAGGTTCACATATTTTTAATAAAAAATTTACCTGCATAAGCAGTAATCCAACTATAAAAGCGCTTCCTTGACAGTATCCAACCTCACGATCCACCAAAGAATAAGCCTGAGAAATAAAGTTTTAAGACTCTCAATAATTAGAACCTCATGATCAACAAAAAGTAATCATAGTTCATGCCGTTATTTGGCTAATAGCTTACTCTTCCTCTCCCAAATCCAGCAAGGACAGACATTCTATTCAGAAGTTTTAGTCAGATATTCTAGTTGCTCCCTGCTGCTACAAAGTGGTATGAACTCTTCTCTCTGATAGCCTACAAAGCTGCAACTAGGCATACCAAAAAATAAATAAAGAAAGAAAATACATGCAGTTTGTAACTACAGGAATTTGCCAAAAGATAACAGAGACAGCTGGCATACAAACTGCACAAGGTTACTACTTTTCTAGGAGACAGACCGACAACAAAACAACAGTTCTTTTCAGAAAAATTAAGTGCTGCAGGTTTATTTAGAGGTGGAGGAAATGCAGTGATCCCCATGCATGTTTCATCTTCATTTCAGAGTCATGGAAGTTACTGTGATTCGGAAGCCTGCCAACTTTTCTGTTGAAACTATCTTGTATAGGAAAGTCTGTCTTTCAAAATTTAAGCTCTAGTACAAAGATGACAAAATAATGCAAACTTAATTTTATGGTGGGATTCTCATTTTGTGCTTGGGCACTGTAACAACTGCACATTAGCTTCTACCTGCCCTTTGCTCCTACCACTTGCAGGTTCTCAAACACTTCAAAACTGAATGCTAGTTCTGATTTACAGTGTTCTTGTCTTAGTCAAGATTGTTTACTTTACTTTGTGGAACATTTTATTCCAGTGTACTATCAGCATTTAGCATGTAACTTTGTTTTAATGCAAACTTATTAACTTTTTTTAATCTCTTATAAAGTAAAACCATTAGCTATAGGAATAACATGTTTGAAAGCTATCTGTGAAACTGGAATGTAATTTGTTAAACCATTTGTGTCAAGTGGAGTAAGTTTAAAAATACATGAAACTGATGCAAGTTCAGTATATATATGGCCAATTATTTTCCAGGCTTTTGTGCTCATTCTTCTAATGTATTTTCAAGGGCTGAAATACTGACTTACCTTCATTACATTGAACAAGACCTCCTGTCCAAGGCTGTCTTTTTCTTTAAAAAAATCATGTTCAGGGTATGTTCTAGCAATGTCCCTTCTTATTAATTTCTCACAAGGAGATGTCATTTTCAAAAGCTCTGAATACTGATCCTTAATTGGCATGCTTTGAGCACTGCACAACAGTTGCCAAACAATTGCTCTGAAATGATGAGGTATCCCTTTTCGAACAAGCTCCTAAAGCACAAAAGAGACACAAATTCAGTTATATTTCCTGAAAATATAAACATAAGCCTAAAGAACAACACACTTGAACATATTAAAGTTCCTCACAACTTCAGAGAATGTTTACATCGTGTCACAAACCAATCATGGAGTTTATATAATGTGTGAACCTCAATTTTAGCCTGGTAAGTTGTCAGCTAACAAAAGCAAGGAGAGTCAGAATCTTTTTTAGTGGCTAAACTAGCTAATAAATGTAGTCCCCTATTCATAGTAAGCTACTTCAAAAGTGTAATATTCAAGTAATTTTAAACAAGAACTCCGATGAGCCAGAATTTGATAGTTATTTTTACAGTTCACAAAAGATTACGGAAGATAACACCCTTAATTATATTTGTGGTGATTGAGATATAAGAAATCACCACTTCAAAATTATTTCCAAGACAGGTAAACGATTAAAAAGTGGAATTAACTACAGCACAGCCAACTGCAACAAAAACTATTGCCCCCTACTACTATCAGAAGTCATTTGACAAACTTGACAAGTTACATCTAATTTCTCTGGTGTGCCAGTATTTCCCAGTTCTTTTTTAAGAAAGTATTTAAATGTAGTTTCAGATACTGGACCAAAAAAACATTAAGTTTACATCTAGTGAATTAACAAAATTTACTTTATCTTCCCTGAAAACAAACAAACCAGCTAGGTATTACACAATTCAAACCTTCCTAGATCAACAGATCTAAGAACCTGGCACTTGTCCTTTCAGAAAGCACAAGCAGAAAGTAGTCTTGTTGCTTGATCTGAAAATTGAGAAAAAAGTATGAGTAAGGAAGTTTACAGACTTAGTGGTACTTTCTGCAACTAGGATCAGGCTGACCTAGAAGATTGTCTCTTCAAGACAAGAGGGTTCCTTTAATAATTTGTTGTACCTTAAGAACTGTTATCAAGTATTCTGTCTCCTAAAGGATAGTTTCTTTCACTAGTATTTATTCTGAAGCCAGAGTAATCTCCTGGTTTGCAAAGCTTCCTCTTTTTCCTGTTTGTTCCAAATATTTCTCCTACTTCTGCAAACTAAGATTTAAACTAAGTTATAACTCTTAAAGACTCCTGCTTTCAAGTTTTGTTTTTGTTAAGCTTAAACTCTGCTGCAGTTTTGCATCACTAACCTTAATTTTCTCCTACCCCTAAGATCTCCAGCCTTCTTCAGAACCATCCTAGTAATGCCACTCCAAATATTTGTCCTGTCTATGACACAACTGTGACACCCTGGGTTATTCCCTGAAAGATTTCCAACTCCGAGACAACAACCTTAACACATCCACTTTCCACATGTCTCTAGCTATCATTTGTCAACGATGCACTATCAGATTGCAGATCAGTCATCCTAAAGCCTCCAGGGCTACTAATAACAAAGCATTAGCAAGTGGTTTCTTGCTTTAAGATACCACACACCTGCTTGACGAAATAACAGAGTTGACGCCTCCAAGAATCCTAAAGGAACAGCAGGAAAACACACCTACTAAGCGGCACTAAAATGATGCTATTCTACACAGTATTATGCACACTGAAAAGCAGGACTTAAGTCATCCTTCAGAAGCCCTCCATAAACAGGAAGGGAGTTCTGAAGTGGATCAAAAGACATAAGGATGGAAGACATCACCAATGCAGGAAGGTATATACACCTATAGCTAAAACTTAAACAACTTACCAAATAGCTAATAACTTAAGACCAGCTTTTATAGCCAAGACATAAAGATACCTATGCTGCTGAAGTCATACCTACTGACACAATCAGGAAATAGGTATGGATGTTCTGGTATTCCATCCCAAATGCCAAATGAAACAGTTTAGGCTGACTTTCCACAAACAAAACAAAAACAAACAAAAATATTGAGAATTATTTAACCAGCAAAAGAAAACTCAGTAGCAATATAATTAAATATTTACTGCGAGTTAGGTAAATACTCCCAAATTATACTTGGCCAGCTGTAAAAACAAGTGACACTTTAAAATGTTCAAATGAACTCTGTCCAACCATATCTACTTATTACCATCTCACTTCTGCTTTCTCTTGCCAGGTTCACGTGGCCTTCTTTTCATGGCCTTTTGGGAACACGTTTCCAAGAACTGTTTTCCCTATGCAAGCAGAAGTCTTGAATTAATTTTCTTCCCTTGTTTCCTCTCTCAAGTCATGTTCTCTCAACTGCTTCACATAAAAGATACTTTACTTTAGCCCATTGTTCTGCCTTCCCACAACCTATTCATACACACACATTTCAAACCGCTCAAAAGACCCTGAAAATTTGTATTCTGCACATAAAACTACAGACTAGAGTCAATAAAGAACCAAAGCAGAACAGACTTGCCTACAAAGAATCCCACGCTGCTGTACTTGCTGCCTCTGAAACATGGCAAACACCATGTTCAAATGCCCTAGATACTTCTTAGTTTGAATTCAAAGTGCAATTGAATTCCACTTCTGTACACGCCCACGACTAACCCAGACTGGATACACACTAGTCAAAGTTTGTCCGATCCACTGAGAATTTAGAAAGTATATTTTATTCTACTTAAGGTCATCCCTGGGGTCAAGCAAGCACACTAGACAAGCACAAAAGCTAAACTCATCAGAGCCTCATACAGTAGGATTATCAGCTTGTCTAATAAGAATGCTTTAAAAAGACAGCTGCTCAGTGGGAAAGAATCATAGCATCCAGCTATCAGATGCCCTGAAGTCGGTTTTCAGTAATTCCATTTTGGAAACATGAAGCGAGTGTTCCCTGCGTTCATGGAAATCTCTCATTAGAGGTAGATTGCAAGCTTCAGTATTCAAGATACAGTAAACACTTTCAGTTTTCAATAAGAGACATTTGCCAGGCAAACCATTACCAAAGTCTGGTAGCAGTTACATAGGAAGCAGTAAGGCTTAAGGATGGAAGTAGATTAAACTGGAAGCTTCTATTACATATTTATTTTAAAAAACATAAGGCCAACAGGAAGATAAACCAGTATCACTTCTATCACATTACAAATATATCCTAAAAAAAAAAATAGTGTCCAACTACTACCTTAACTTGTTTTTCCTTCTTCTTCCGTACATCTTCCCATTCATTCACAATCCTCCCCCACAGGATCCATGAGTCTTCTTCAAGATGGCTGAGATTGCTAGAAGCTGATGAACTAGATACAAGAGAAGATCCACTATTTCTTCTTGACCCATTTACCGATCGCAAGGATTTGCTATCTGTTTCCAAGAGTCTGCAAAGAAAGCACACAAAAACCAAGTTGTTCTAATCACAGGACTACACTATTAATTGTTTAGAAATCAATTCTTCCAACCTCTTTACAAAGAGCACACCCAAAGTTGTTTCCAACATCCATTTGTACTAAATTTAAAGAGAAAAATTAGTCAATGTTACTGTTTCTTCTAAGATCTCAAGTAATTCTGCATACAGCAGAACAACTCACATTGCAGCCTTTTAAGAAACAGATAAAAATGCCACATCACACATAGAATCATAGAATCGCTAAGGTTGGCAGGGACCTTTAAGATCATCACGTCCAACCATCAACCTACCCTGACAAAACCACTTCTAAACCATGTCCCTGGGCACCTCATCTACCCTTTTTTTTTTTTAAACACCTCCAGGGATGGCAAATCCACCCCCTCCCTGGGCAGCCTATTCCAATGCCTAATAACACTTTCAGTGAAAAAATGTTTCCTAATATCCAATCTAACCCTCCCCTGACATAACTTGAACCCATTTCCTCTCGTCCTCCCACTTGTCACCAGGGAGAAGAGGTCAGCCCCCACCTCTCTACAACCTCCTTTCAGGTAGTTGTAGAGGGTGACAAGGTCTCCCCTCAGCCTCCTCTTCTCCAGGCTAAACAACCCCAGTTCCCTCAGCCGTTCCTCATAAGGCTTGTCCTCCAGACCCCTCACCAGCCTTGTAGCCCTTCTCTGGACAAGCTCCAACACGAGGGGCCCAAGACTGAACACAGTACTCGAGGTGGTACACAGTACAGTACTGAACACAGTACAGAGGTGGGGCCTCACCCATGCCAAGTACAGGGAGATGATCACTTCCCTAATCCTGCTCACCACACTATGCCTGATGCAGGCCAGGATGCTGCTGGCCTTCTTGGCCACCTGGGCACACTGCTGGCTCATATTCAGCCGGCCGTCCACCAACACCCCCAGGTCCTTTTCTGCCGGGCAGCTTTTGAGCCACTCTTCCCTAAACCTGTAGCGCTGCATGGGGTTGTTGTGCCCCAAGTGCAGGACCCGGCACTTGGCCTTGTTGAACCTCATACCATTGGCCTCGGCCCATCAGCCCAGCCTGTCCAGATCCCTCTGTATCAACAACACTAAGTGAGGTTTTAACACAAGCATTTTGTGGTCTCGTGAACTAAATCTTAACACATAAAGATACCAACTTAGAGAAATTACAGAAGCATTGCAAGTCCAATGCTCCTTTACACATTCATCAACTGGAGATTAATAAGACATAGAGGGAAAATGTCTTGTTTTGAGATATAAAGTATCAGCAAGAGGGCTTTGATTTTACTAGCAACAAAAAACCCTCAATCATAGTGTCAAATGGCAAAGTACTGCAAAACAGACAGTAGTTTTAAAGAAAAGACAAAAAAGCCTCTAAAAGTCCACCAATTACGCTTTTTTTGACAGTGTAAATACAGACAGAATAATTAAAACCTGGGGCAATTTTAAAACACCTGACAACTGTTCACAAATCAACATGGTGTTTTATAAACACACAGGAAAAATCTCAGACCTAAAGAATGAGGACCAGGCAACAAGAGTGGTTAGTATAGCTAATGAATGTGTAATTAAAGCCTGGAGTTCAGATGTGAGAACTTCTGGGGTTATCAGGGAGCAAGGTATACATAAAGATGCACCAAGTGCTGGACAAGTTGCTGAGGAGAGTTCCCTGTTAGCTGGTTGCTATGGCCATCAGTTTTGCAAGGATCTGGGGATTCCGGGAAAAAAGGCGTGCTTTGTTTATCCTCAACAAATATGACCCCCATAAGCAGGGGGACATTTTTTAGACCACGTTACGCAAGAGCAAGAATTCAGACAAACTTGAAAAAAATGTTCTGCTATATTAAGAGTTTAATTTGTGCTTTAACATGCAAGAATTCCAGCATCTGTAAATCAGAGTGATCTGGTTGAATAATTTCTTGATGCACCTGCACAAAGGCATTTCAGCAAGGTCAGGTTAGGTTTTAGATATTTAATAAATGATAACCTGAGTTATATTGTTCCTGAAATTGTACACAAATCTCAGCATACCTACAATTTTTAAGATCTCTGCTACGATAGAGATATTTATACTAGCTTCCCCTGTTCCCAGCTTTCACCTACTGGTATTTATGGAAGTTAGGGGAAAAAAAAGTAATTGAACTCATGAAAACAACAAGTACAGTCTCTGCAGTAGTATTTTGTTTGGAAAAGGGTTAAATAGTAGTGCCTTTGAAAAAGAAAATAATCAAGCTTTTTCAAGACCAATTTTAATTTAGTCCACATTAAGGGAATGCAGAAAATCTTGTTTTGAGGAAAAAAAAACAAATGAAAAAACATTTTTAATGTTTAGAAACCTCACCTATACTGACCCATAATGAAAATTTATGGTTTGGAACTCCTCCTCTGAATCTGAGACAGTGCCTAAAGTTCAAATTCAAAGTAATCAGAGGAAAAACAAGCACAGAATAAAAAGTACAATTATAAAAACAAGGCTCTAACTAGTCACTTTCAGTTTTCACAGCTTTCTATAGAAGTTATGCTAAGTTTCTGTAATTTGACCTTACCTGGATAAACTCATTGTCCTTAGATTTGAAAACGGGAAGTTCTTTTTACAGTAAGTAACAAGTTCTGTGGCATTTAGTCACTGTTTTCTTTCACCTAAAACTTTTATAAATGATTTACTAATGCCAAACAGCTCCACCAGGACTCTGGACCGAGCTACCTCATTATTCTGAGGGGCCTTCCAGTATAATTGGATTACAGAATGCTACAAGACATAGCTTGATACAATTTGAGTTCTTTCCATTTCTAGCTGTTTAACTAATTCATATGCTCCTTATTAACATAAAAGCTAGCGACAAAAAGGAAACCTTTAAAAACACCCATCACCAGCAATTCTTCCAGCAAGCAGAAACAAGAATACCTCCCTGTGTTCAGAGCACAATTCCTTGTCAACAAAGTGCCACTGTGCTAAAACGCAGAGTCAAACTGTTCTCAAACTACAGTGCATCCAGTATAACAAGAGCATCAAATTTCTGTATTAAAGTGCAGTACCTTGTGAGAAAAGGTAGATTTGATAGGATAGCCTCTAATTAGAATTCACACAGGAGACTACTGTGGGATTGAACAACAGGTCTGGCTAAAGCTAAATAAAACCAGACAGGATTTGCTAGCTTACATTTACTAAATGAAGAAAGCTGACTTGAACAAGAAAGGCTTGCAAGACCAAGCTCACGTTCTTCTTTCAACAAGCAAACTAGCCTAACTGCGGGGCTTAACAAGATGACTCTAGACGTGCGCTCCAACACAGATAAGCAGTCCAAAGAACAGATATTACTGCTTTTCAAATAAAAGTTAGTCACTTAGTTGTGAACAGAGCTGAGTGCCTCAGATTAAATGCAAATTAGCCTTCTAAAAAGCATTCTCTTTTTCCTTCTTTTGATAAATTTACATTTGCTACTAGCACAGCAATAATTAAATATAGCTCATCTTTGAAGGACAGACAATCCCATAAACCACAAGGAAAAGAAGATTAGGTGGTTCTAGAAGCTGCCTTCCATTCTTCATCAAGAACTAGACAGATAAAACAGATTCCCTGAATGTTGTATTGCTGTCAGGCTGTAGTATACAAAAATGGGAGAAGACATGCCAGGTGACACAATGGCATTAGCCCCTCCTCTCACCAGTAACTCTTCTCTACTGAAAGTTACTACCCCCATAACTGAATCAGCAGAGTAAAGAAACCCAAGTACCTGAACTGCCTGAGTGCAAAGTCCAGCACGCTAGCAGAAGCTAGTTTGAGCTAAACTATCAAACTCGGCACTTAACCGCAGCACAGGGGATAGCAATCTTCAGTAGGTGTCAAAGCCCTGCAGCTATCTGCTAAGCCTAAAACCTATTTGGAGCTCAAGTTCTTCTTTAGAGTCAACCTCTCACGAACAACTAAAAATACAACCAAATTTTGCAAAAAGCCAGATGACTTAGAAGCCCTGCCTCAGAAGTGCAAGTAACTATGGTTCTGGAAATTCAGCATTAAGAAATCATACAGTCCAATTTTGTTTCTTAGCGAGTTTGCCAATTTGCAATCACTGTGCCTGTCAAGAGCAATTGATCCAACTGAAAGTTTCATTTTGAACTGTAGATGGTGCACATAAATCTACACTCATGGAAAGGCTGCCAAGAAAACAGTTGCTTACTATATAAAAAAAAAAAATAGTCTTTTCTGTTCATCCTGGCTTTTAAGAAATTACTTCTCATGAAATTAAGATATTAAGCGTCTGCCACTATTAGCATGACAGCCGGATGCATATACTATTTCTTGCAAATAAAGATGACTGAACATTGTTCCATCTCTAAACAGAGCAGATTGTATAGTGGAAAGCAAGAACTGGTTTAAGTGGAAAAAAATTCAGAAAATGGAATTCAGACTTCTTTAACATTTCAAAAAGCTAACGGAAATTACAATTTTGACATAAGAAGGTGAGAAAGTTGTATGAAAGTTTCTTCCCTGAGATACTCTATTTTAAATACAGTTGGACATGATGAACTTGGTCTTTTCCAACCTGAACAACTCTATGATTCTATGAAACTGGATACTGAAAATCGCGTGGCTCCAGTGTAAATTCTTAGGATTAGAGGCAGCTATAAACCATCCTGTAAAATCAGGAGAGAAAGACACCTTTTAGAGTTCCACAAAAAAAAAAGAACTTTTAAAAACATAGCACTAGAACACAAGTTCTTAAACCTTGGGGCCTTGAGATTGAAATGTTGTGCCATGAAGTTTTACCTAACACCCATTTAACAGCTTCTATGCTGAAACTGCAATAAACCAATTCTAGTCTCATTACTATACTTTGAAGACCAAAAAATTTTCCATTCACCTGTTCTGTTCCTCAAGTTTAGCAAGTAATTCCAAGTCGTCAGGACTCAGCTGTGTTGGTGAGGATGGTGATAATGCCGGTGTAGACAGCGTGGTAGAGGAGGATGTAGTGTGTAATGAGGCAGATGGACTTGCCACCTGACTGGCCATTTGACTGACGGTGTGCGATACAGTGTTCTTCACCCATGAGAGAGTAGAGCTCAGCTTTCCTGCAACCTTGTCTGTCGCCACCTGTGATGACAAAAAGAGGATGCAACAGTTGCCTTTTTTTTAATGCTTTTTTTTTTTCCCCTCAGTAAACCTGCTGCGATGAATAAAGGCAAAAAACATACAATATGCATGAAGTGACACTGAGATTATTTATTTCTCCAGAACACCCAAGGTCATCAGAAGCAACGCAAGCATCAACAGCAATACAATATTACAGAAGTAACATGCAAGTATTCTGCTAATCCACAAAGAAAGACTTGGAGGAATTCCTGATGTATACTCACAGAGCTCATTTCTGCAGTACAGAAATACCACAGGATCCAGGATCAGCTCAGACTTCCCATTGCAAAAATAAATATAAATAAAAGCTTATTTTAAAACATCTTGATAAACTAATAATGGCACAGAAACTGTAGAAAAATAGGCATAGAAACAGTCAACAGTTTAGTGATGGACACTGGAGCAGTACAAATATATCAATGGAAACGCTCTAGACTGCCCACTGCTCACCTTCTTTAATGCCTACAGCAGCAGGACAGAGGAGCAGGGGCACCACGTTTCCAATCTACACCAAAGCAAACGATCCTCTACCATCTGCCAGTGTGTAGAAAACAGTCACAAAGAATTTAAACCTGTGAATCCACAACAGCTCCTGAATATCTTACATTAAAGGCCTCATGCTGCCAGCTCTTCTGCTCCCTCGCTTTCTCTTCCGGTCACCTGTATCCTTCAGATACACCAAGTATCCTTGATCCCTGATCCCACTGCCAGTGCCTGGACAATCCTGAGGTTTGAGAGGGGTCCTGGAGGAAAAGTGAGAGGTGCTACTACAGCAGAAGGGAGCTCTGAGCAGACAGTTGGGGAAACTGTCGGTCCGGGAATGAGGAGGTTAACTGGGGCTGATCATAAACTGCTGCTACTTCTTGACCAGTGTTATGGGGTAATACAGCCTAACAGGTTCACAGATCACTAGAGAAGAATGAACAGCAGGCCCTGGAGGTATTTTCTAATGAACGCCTCACTAGAGCTTCCTTCAGCAACTGAAAATGTAAAAGGCTTTGACCTACAGCGATTCACAAGAGTTCAATTCTTCCCTGGCCCAACTCAGAGAAAATTTAGATGCACCCTAAAGGAAGAGCTAGCTTCCTAGTGAAACTAAGGTTGAAGAGGAACTTCCTTTGAAGTGGTGCTGCTGGCAACTATTTATTTTGACCTTTGCCGACTTCCTCAAAACACCAAATTGCTCAATGGTTGTCACAAACAATTGTGCAGTACAGCCTATACAACAATTGCTAAGATACAAAAGACACTGAGCTACAGGAAAAAAAGTCCCTGCTCAAGATCTTCTAATAGAATCTAATTAAAGCAGAATTTCAACTGGGAAAAGTAACTCCATCTCAGCACACCATGCATTTACTTGAAGCACAGTACATAGACCAAATTACTGGTTCCTAAAGCAGAAGCTTTTATTTACATACAATGCTACAATGAACTTTTTAGCAAATCAAATCCAGTAGTATTGTATTTTCAGGTCACATGGAAAGGAAGACACACTGAATGCTTTCAGAAAAACAGGAGGAACACTACAGGCCAAACACAGAACAGTGGTACTCAATCTCCCCACTTCCTCTCCACCAGCAACATGACACTTAAGAGTTCTCCTAGAGGACTGTGAAGATGTTTCCAGTTTCCATATGCTTAACATTCATTCTGGGAATGGTAACAGATTTTGCTAGAAATCCTCAGATGCAGGGATACAAGCCACAGGGGGGGAACAGTAAGGTCCCAACATAAGCATCAGCAAGGTTCCAGTTGGTTCTTACAACACTGTTGCACAGGAAAGCTCAGGTATATCAATGTTTGTTTAAAAAGACAACACATGATCTTTTAAAGATAATCCTTGGAAAAAAATCACTTCCAATACTAACATTTGACACCATCTTTTGTACAAGAAAGGAATAAAAATTGGTAGAGGTTTCAAAATCTTAAGATTAATACACACATTAATATTTCACTCAGTCAATATCCTTTACTCTCTATTGCTATGAAAGAATAAGTTATTGCTGTTTCACTTTGAATAAAATAGCATTATGATAAAGGTAACTCATGCATCTCACTGAGGACTGATTATTTTCTTAAAGGCTTTAAACTGCTTAAAATATGACATGTAATGCAACCATTCCAAAAATAAGTGTTAGCAGAAACAGGGCCAATCTTAACACTGCATCAAACATGACTGCCATACATAGTAGGTTTTAAGAGTCATCCATTCTAAGAATCTTACATATAAATATTAGAAAAGCAATGATTTTGAGTAATACCCTATGCAACACGAACAGAAAGAGAAAGTAGACAATAATCTTTTCAAAGTAAAGGAACTAAGACAATGAAAAAGTAAATCCAAGCTGAGTTTGGCTTACACATTATGAGGCTCATACTCCACATTAAGATAGCTGAAGCAGGGGGTGGGATGTGGGACAGAAATCAAGAATCTTATTAACATTCATTCACCAACATATCACCAGGCATTAAAAAAATTAAAGCAAAGGTTTGTAAAAAAAAAAACCAAAACAATTATGTGAAGAATACTAAGAAAAAGCATGGTGAAGAAAATCATGCAAGACAGCAGTTAAATCAGAACACTGTGTCTAACAATACTCCTTTTTCTAAAAGCAGTTCAGAGTTTCATTAGAACGTATTTAAGAGAGTTAGTACCAACAAAAATTCCTAGTCTGAAAGCATACATATAACAAGCAAAAGATGCACGGTTGCAAAAAGCAAATGTTTGAACATCAAAAGGCTCACAGTGAAGTTTGTACAAAAACACATGAAGAATTTGTTTGCGGAAAACAGCTATGCCAGTCACCCAGGGCCAACCTAAACTAAGAAAAAAAATCTGATCTAGTAGCCCACTAGCCAAGCCTACATCCCTTTTGCCAGGCTTTTCCAGGATTTCCTAAAAAAACTAAAATTTCCTAATAATGGCAGCTCTCAAATTGTCAGCATCAGCATAGACTCCTGGACGTAGACACAAAGGCATTTACTATCAGTTTGTTATCCCTTTCCCTAAACAGGATAGAGTAACAGGATTTTCATATTTCATCATTTCACCTATGTTAATTTCAAAATTGATATTCAGTGATAGAATATGTCATAGAATTATCCTTTGACAAGTGACTTAAGGCCTTCCAGAAAAGATGTCACTGGACTTTGAAAATAAGAAAACCTTTCCAGGAGCAACACACAAGAATTCCTACCAACATGCACATAGGGCTCCTACACTTGCCCTTCCAACTCTTCACCCTTCTCTTAATAAAGAATGAAAATCCCTGCTTAAGTTTTCAACTCTATGTACACTGTTGCATCTAACAGGGTAGTTGCACTCAGACATCACTAAACCACAGACCACTGCTATTTCCCACCTTTCCACTGGCAACCCCTGCAACAAGAAATCTGTGTCCCACTACTAAGACAATGCAGATAGGTAGTACAGAAATTAATCCTACTGACTCATCATCATTAAACCTTTAATCTTTCCTTTGTGTTTTTGGACAGAGTCTCCTCAAGGCTTTCCTAAACAAATGTTTCTTTTAAAACTTGGTTATTATTTAGCCAGTGATATTTCTGCAGGCCTGCAGCAGTGTCTCACTTTCGGCTACAACGATGCTCCACAGTTACGAAGTGTCCTTCCCTTTGCTACTCTTCAGCATTGCAGAAAACAGATCATAGTCACACCGTCAGCTATTTGTAGCAGTAACAAGGACAGCCAGATACACAACAGTGCCTATCTCAAAATCTTAGGTAGATCACAGCAATAAATCTAACCACACGAGATAGGACTTTTGCCTTTGCCATCATCCCCTCACTAGGTGTACCCACCTATGCTGCTTCCACCCTGTTCTGCCTTACCTCGCTGCTGAAGAGCTCACACTGGTGAAGGTGCTCTACCTGGCGCCCTCCTGCGCTACACTGCGTATCGCAGGCAGCACCTATGCAGACAGCTCAACCTGGGACTCTGTCCCAACACTTACCAGACCAATGCAAGCTCTCCATCCCTTCAGCTAACCAGCTCAGGCTGCAAGCTCCCAGTTCACAGTATTCTTCGCTCAGCTCACCTCAGCCAGTTTTTCAACTATGCAAAGAGAACTAATTTCCTTTTTATTCCCAGCATTTTTCAGATGCTGCAATTCAAGTTACATTTGAAGAGTATAAAAGGCAACCTACATTGCCTGGGAAGCATGCCAGCTCATCAAGAGCACCACCAGGATGATCAAGCTATCATTAATTATTATTAATGTGTGATCAAAAACAGAGTCAACCCATTTTAAAAATGTTCTTTTTTCCCCGGAGGGATGTCACTCAAGAACCTGCCAATTAATCAGACTTTGAGCACAAATGCTGTTCCTGTCCCACTCCTGGGGACAGCAATGCTTTCCACTGATGATGGCCAGGTCCGCAGACAAGCAGGCAGGGGTACACTGCCTTCACCCTTTGCAGGAGGACACAGAGAACTGAGCAGGCATCATCCAGCTCCAAATCAGGTATGTTCATTCAGGCTCCAAGCCATATTAACAGCTACACTGCTCCCAGTTTGCCAACACATCAAGAGCACTGGCAAGAGTTCATTTCCATCTGCCTGCCTAAGACCATGTAGATACCTCCTAATTAAATGTGTGGAGTTTGAAAATATTGATCTTTAAACAGGGGAGGGGGACAACACTTAACTACCAAAGACTTTTAGTTTGCTGCAGTTTGCAGTGAGCAAAACAAAATTCCCAGCAATTCTCACCCATCCGGTCGGCCATCAGTCAAGGCACAGACCTGTCCTCTACATACTTTAATCTGCTGGAAAAATAATATTTATGTTGATATTATATATAGATACATAGGAGGTACAGTTTATATATGCCAATTAAAATACATAAATTCAGTATCTCAACTTTATGTTTAGTATTTTTAATTAGCTGCTGACGGCAGTGCTTTATTACCAAGAGGAAGTACAACACCGTGTTTCGATTTTTGAGTTACTCAAAGGAATACTGCAGCGGAGCAGCACATGAAGTATTTTAAGTGAGGCTAGCTGAAGGCAGACTGCGGCATCCCACATCACATACAATTATATACATCCCTTTCACTGAGAATCCCAAGGTATTGTGCAGCACCTTACAGTAAGCCCAAGTTGTTACCACCACATATTTTTGCGTTTGCCAGACAGACAAGATGTTTTTCTAAAAAAGTCTATTTAATTTCTTTAAAAAAAGGTATTTCTCTGTACACATTGAATTAGCATAGTACCTATATTATGCATTTCCCTGAGGAAAATCTGTATTAAAGTTACAGGTTTCTTGATTACCCAAAATAGCATCTCAGCTATTCTTATCATATGACAAAGTAAAAATAACTGCAAGTCTTATACAAACACTAATGTATATATTATATGCTCTCTACTCTTTCTTCTCTTCGTGAAGAGAGAAAGAAATGGGAACTTCCAGAATGCAGGAAGTAATCCTCATACTATTCTACATATAAAAAGAAGTCTCACATAATTGGGGCTGAAACTGTTGTCATGGTTTCAGCTGGGACAGAGCTAACTTTTTTACTAGCAGCTGGTATAGTGCAATGTTTTGGATTTGAATCAGCGATGATAGCACACTAATGTTTTTGGTTGTTGCTAAGCAGTCAAGGCCTTTTCTGCTCCTCACACCGCCCCGCCAGCAAGCAGGCTGGACGAGCACAAGAAGTTGGGAGGGGACATAGCTGGGACAGCTGACCCCAACTGGCCATAGGGCTATTCCATACCATGCGATATCACGCTCACTATATAAAGCTGGGGTAAGATGAAGGAAGGGGGGACATTCGGAGTGACGGCATTTGTCTTCCCACGGAACCATCGCACATGATGGAGCCCTGCTTTCCTGGAGATGGCTGAACACCTGCCTGCCCATGGGAAGCAGTGAATGAATTTCGTGTTTTGGTTTGCTTGTGTGCGTGGCTTTTGCTCTACCTATCAAACTGTCTCTATCACAACCCACAAGTTTTTCCTCACTTTTACTCTTCCAATTCTCTCCCCCATTGCAGCTGGGGGTAGCGAGCAAGTGGCTGCATGGCTCTTGCTGCTGGCTGGGGTTAGACGATGGTAATTGTATAGGTTTTTCAAGCCAGTTATATAGCATTCTATGGACCCAGCCTCCTGCTTGCTTCAAAAAAGGTAACAGCACTCTAATATCTAAAGAATAAATTAAACTGACTCAGTCAATGACATATGCAGGAAAGGTACCTGGTGAATCAGCCTATTATCATGCTTCCTGACAAGCTAAAATCCTAATTTAAGGCTCAAAAAGAAAACTTGAAGCTGCAAGCTGACATACACAACATACAAATCTAACACATAAGGTGTTTAAGGAGGCACTTAATTAGAAATGTTGTAGTGATCCACTAAAGGTTGAAACCGTTGCTCGAAGTCATATGAGTAACATTTCAACCACTGACCAAACTGCACTAAATTCTATTTATTTCCAAGAACAATTCCAGATTTCTAATTAATTCTGAAGTCCAGGGTGGTTTACAATCTGTCAAGCATCGTCCCAGTACACTAGTTGAGAAGACAAGCCACTGTGCTTTTGCAGACACTATCTCCCGTCCACCTAAAAATGGTCCTCTTTCAAACAAGTTTCAAATCTGACATAGGAATGTAACAACCTTCAGAAAACCATAGAGACCTTCTTTCAATGGGAAAAGAATCAGATATAGTGCTTTTGTACAAATGATGGCTGAGAGCTCCTCAGAGCTGCAAGAGAAAATACTGAAGGACTACAGTAAAAACCTTTAACAGGGAACTTCCTTTGTTTCTTTGTTCTCTTAGACATTGGTTTGGGAAACATCTTTGTATTTGAGGTTCAGCATCCCAAGTTACATGCACATATACTTGAAGGACCATCCCCTTGGCTAACAAGAGAGAAGGAAGAATCAGACTAATCAACTAAAATAAAGCACAACAACTGCAAAGTCAGGTTTTTTTATGAACTAGATTGGAAGATTTGTTTTTGTTCTTTTCAATAAAAAGCAACTCAATCATTTCACTTGAACTCAAGTATCATCAGGCATTTACAAAGAAGTAACACACACTGAAGGACACATGTTTATCATTAAAGTTCCTTTCTACAAATCTTATTTTCCTACTCATTCCCCAAAGCCTAGCTTCCTTCATGTTGCTTTTAGCCAACTTCCTCCTGGAAAGGAGCCAGGACTAGCATTTAAAATACATTAGAACAAAAATACACAAACAAAAAATATAAATGTAGTTGTATTTACTAAAAGCTTAGGTCTATATTTTGAAAGTGAGAAACAACTAAGTCATATTTCTAAATGTTCACTGAGCCTTAATTAAAATCAATGTATTTAACACAACTCTTCATTAAAAAGGTATACAAAATTTGCAAGGAATTAAATTGGTAAGTTTAAAGAGATCCAGTATCTGACAACATGAAAACATACCATTCCATGCAACATTTGTTTTTAATGTATGGACAGCCCAGTATTTTCTAGGTCTAATTCTCCTTGCTTATAGAGATTACAAAAACTTATGCCACAATCTACAGGCTAGAACCAAAATGCTTATCTCCAGTTTACCAAGTTGTGTATGGTTCCCTTTCCAATGAGATATATAAAGAGACACTTGATGGAGAAACTGAAGAACATAAACATGGCCTTATGGAATATGGTAACACTTGAAACTTATTATTAATTACTTACTAGAATTTTTTTAAACAAATCAGGTGACAGAGGTTGGTGACACCCTACCTTCAAAATATCACTCTTCTTTCCTTTAAACGATCAGCTAAAAGGTCAATTTTCTACCAGTTACACTCAAATTCAAAAGAGTAAACCAGTTTCTAAATGACTGACTGATAACCAGCTTTATTTGTGAGCTACAAATTCATTGCAACCTGCTGCTGCTGACAGAGAACAAGAATTAAAAGTTTTAAGAGTGAGAAGTGTAACCAATTTCAGAATTTCCACATAGGAAAGTTGTCTGAGCTATTCAGTAAACGTAGCAGATTTAAACACAGGTGCAGAAATCAACAGCCAATTCTTCTAACACAACCCATGCCAACAACCATGGTCTTGCAGTAACATTTAATTTTGCCCACCAGTTTACTTGGTGTATCCATGACTTATCTTCACAAGCACTTACAGCGTAACCTGAAGCAAGCACACATTTGTGGCTACAGAAGGGTCTTCTTCCACGCTACTGACGTCTATAAGAGCGCTCCTACAGCCTTCTCTGAGCACAGCACTCAGAAAACTAATTTTCCTCAGTTACTGACTAAAGAAAAGGAAGATGGCTCTTCAGAGAAATGACATATTCTACTCATCAAATTAAATCAGTTATTTTCTGATTAGTTGACCACTGAGTTTTACACTTTCACTTGGAAGTAAGGGCCTATTTACTTCTTTCAAAGAGGCCGACTAGTGGAAAAATGCAAGGAAGATCAATGAAACAGGTAATTTTTAGCGCCAGTCTGACACAAAAAAGATTATGTAGGTATCCCAAGCCCATGCTATCATGGTCTGTGTCTCATTATGGAATTTTAACTTGCCTTTGTCATTTGTCTTTAGAAATACTGATGACAATTCCTTTTCCAAAGGGCTAAGAAATACTTACTAAAGCTTCAGCCAAACCCATGAAGTTCCATCACTAACGCATTCCGGCGGGGGGGGAGCTTTTTAGCAAATTACCTTGCTTAATGAATATTGGGTTTTAGCTCTGCTGTTTCAGAGAGCATGGAAGTTGGAATTTCTTTTTACTATGCCTGATAGTTCACTGTTGGAACTATATATAATCAAGAAGAACACCTGAAAAATTAGAGCTGTAAAACTAAATTCTATACAATGTCACTCTATATAGTGATGTGGACAGTAGACATCCAAAATATTAGGTTTTGGCTAGCTACTACTTTTTGACACCCAGTTTAAGCCACATTTGACAGTTTTAACCTTCTATAACAAAAATAACGGTAAGCTCTTCTCCTAACATCCTCTTAGTTACAAGCGCACAGTCAACTTG